CACACACACACACACACACACGGTTACATTTAAACCCTTGACTAAATGTCATCAGGACCCAAGGGATTAAGGGTAGGGGGAACAATTTAAAACAGAAATTGTCCCTAGAGGAACATCTTATGTTGTTACTCCTCAGAGCCATTGCTCAGGTCTAAGGCTGAGGGTGAGTATTAGAATGTATCCTTAGGAAGGGCCCTAGCTACACCCATAACACTAAATCTGACCTTAACCTTTATAGGGCTAAGACCCTCCATGCATCTGATTGGTCTTTTGGCTCCTTCTAAAGCATCTATTCTAACGGGTACCAACTGTACCAACTCATTGTGGGGACCTAAATCATTGCAGGTAAAAGGGAAATCAAAAGACAAAAGAGAGAATTTTGATCTTTGGTTTTCATCTAGATGTGTGAAGTGTACGTGAGGGATATTCATTTATAGAGGCATTGTGTGATTTGAAAAGTAATCCCCTCATGATCAGCAGTACACAGAATAATAATGTTATTTTCAAGGTCAGCATCTCAATCTCTTAATTTGTTTTATATTATGATAAAATAGAACAGGATTTAAATCTTGTCTCCTGATAATCTATTATGGGATGACATCAAAACACCTGAAATACAAATCAATTTCTTATTATGTTTAAGTGGATATCATGGATGGGTAGGGATTTTTTCTTATTTCTTGAAAAGAAAAATATCCCAGTAAAAAAAGGATTCATCCAAGATAAATGTATTCTGATTACACTTAACTTTACAATTGCCTGTTCACTAGTTTTTTTGGTCTTAGAATTAACACGGTAACATTTTAATAACTTCATGAATACCTAATAATTATGTTATAATTCATCAACAACAAAAAAACACTACATAGCATCATAAAGTACTGTTACCCTATGAAATCTTAAAGGTCCAGTGTAGTCAAAATTCAGTTTTTCCTGTGTTTTGCATCACATTGTACAACTGATAAAACTATTTGATTTGTGTTATTTGCTGATAGTTGCTGGTTGAAAATACAATCTACACAGGACCTTCTAATTAGCAGGTTTGCATGGGAGGAAGTTTCTGCTTTCCATGGTGACATCACCACGCGGTAAATTGGTTAATAGACCAATAACAAAGAGAGTTCCAAACCTCTCTGCCAATAACAGCTAGTTTTCCGTTTTCCCCTAACACCTCAGACCACTCCCAGACAGTTCTAGCAAAATTCTTGCTTGAGAAATATTTTTTTGCTATTTTGGCCCATTTTAACAGAAATCTATTACAGTAAGGTACTTAATTGTTACCCAGAAATTATTTTATATTGATATAAAACCGGCTGTATTGCGCCTTTAAGTAAATAGCAGCTGAAGCCAGACTATAACTTAAACCATTACCAATGGTTATGTCTGACAGGATGCATATTTCGTTTACAGACAACAGCACGTGCTAATTTATAATTAGTTATAGAATAAATGATTATCCCTGGAAATAAAATAACAAAACAAACAATCCCCATCCTTATTTTTACAGAACAGACGCCCCCTCCCCCTCTCTGTTTAAAAGTGGTATGATCCCCATGTCCTTTGGTCCCTTCTGTAAAGTGTTATCGGGGGTGTTGGTGAAAGTATACTTTTTTGTCTAAGAAGCAGTAAGGCTGAAGTTATCTGATCCTAGACTAACTCGTTTGGGGGAGCATCAACATTTGGCCACCATTTTGACAGCTTAACAATGTGGAGATGTTGTCAAAACCGACTGTAATACTCACAGTACTAAACTATTTTAAGTGCTATGTAGAGTAAATCAAACGATAGTATCTGTTTTGGCAACATCCCTGCACTCTTGTGCTGTCAAAATGTGTCCCTGAGTGGCGCAGTGGTCAAAAGCACTGCATTGCAGTGCTGAGGCGTTCCTACAGACTGGGGTTCGATTCCAGGCTGTGTCACAGCCGGCCGTGACCAGGAGCCCCATAGGACGGTGCACAATTGGCCCAGCGCCGTCCGGGATAGGGGAGTGTTTAGCCGGGTGGTTTTCCATGGCTCATCACGCTATAGCGACTCCTTGTGGCAGGGCCTTGCGCATGCAAGCTGACTTTGGTCGTCAGTCGAACGGTGTTTCCGCCGACACATTGGTGTGGCTGACTTCCGGGTTAAGCGAGCAGTGTGATAAGAAGTAGCACGGCCAGGCGGGTCATGTTTCGGAGGACGCATGACTCGACCTTTGCCTCTCTCGAGCCCATTTGGGAGTTGCAGTGATGAGCCAAGATCGTAATTCGGGGAGAAAATGGGCAAAAAAAATATGCTTGTGGCCAGACCACCCTGAACTTGTCTGATCTCGGTAGCTAAGCAGGGTCGGGCCTGGTTAGTACTTGGATGGGAGACCATCTTGGAATACCAGGTGGTGTAAGCCCAAAAAATTATAACAAAAATGTTTCCCTCAGTGTTGTATGAATGCGAAGGAGGTTGTTAAGGTAGGGATGCTGGAGTGAGCTGAGTGCATGCATGTATGTACAGTTGAAGTCGGAAGTTTCATACACTTAGGTTGGAGTCATTAAAACTCGTTTTTCAACCACTCCACAAATTTCTTGTTAACAAACTATAGTTTTGTCAAGTCGGTTAGGACATCTACTTTGTGCATGACAGAAGTAATTTTTCCAACAACTGTGTACAGACAGATTATTTCACTTACAATTCACTGTATCACAATTCCAGTGAGTCAGAAGTTTACATACACTAAGTTGACTGTGCCTTTAAACAGCTTGGAAAATTCCAGAAAATGATGTCATGGCTTTAGAAGCTTCTGATAGGGTAATTGACATCATTTGAGTCAATTGGAGGTGTCCCTGTGGATGTATTTCAAGGCCTACCTTCAAACTCACTGCCTCTTTGCTTGACATCATGGTAAAATCAAAAGAAATCAACCAAGACCTCAGAAAAAAAATTGTAGACCTCCACAAGTCTGGTTCATCCTTGGGAGTAATTTCCAAACGCCTGAAGGTACCACGTTCATCTGTACAAACAATAGTACGCAAGTATAAACACCATGGGACCACGCAGCCGTCACACCGCTCAGGAAGGAGACGCGTTCTGTCTCCTAGAGATGAACGTACTTTGGTGCGAAAAGTGCAAATCAATCCCAGAACAACAGCAAAGGACCTTGTGAAGATGCTGGAAGAAACAGGTACAAAAGTATCTATATCCACAGTAAAACGAGTCCTATATCGACATAACCTGAAAGGCCGCTCAGCAAGGAAGAAGCCACTGCTCCAAAACCGCCATAAAAAAGCCAGACTACGGTTTGCAACTGCACATGGGGACAAAGATCGTACTTTTTGGAGAAACAAAAATAGAACTGTTTGGCCATAATGACCATCGTTATGTTTGGAGGAAAAGGGGGGTGTTTGCAAGACGAAGAACACCATCCCAACCGTGAAGCACGGGGGTGGCAGCATCATGCTGTGCGGGTGCTTTGCTGCAGGGGGGACTGGTGCACTTCACAAAATAGATGGCATCATGAGGAAGGAAAATGATGTGGATATATTGAAGCAACATCTCAAGACATCAGTCAGGAAGTTAAAGCTTGGTCGCAAATGGGTCTTCCAAATGGACAATGAACCCAAGCATACTTCCAAAGTTGTGCCAAAATGGCTTAAGGACAACAAAGTCAAGGTATTGGAGTGGCCATTACAAAGCCCTGACCTCAATCCTATAGAAAACTTGTGGGCAGAACTGAAAAAATGTGTGTGAGCAAGGAGGCCTACAAACCTGACTCAGTTACACCAGCTCTGTCAAGAGGAATGGGCCATAATTCACCCAACTTCTTGTGGGAAGCTTGTGGAAGGCTACCCAAAACGTTTGACCCAAGTTAAACAATTTAAAGGCAATGCTACCAAATACTAATTGAGTGTATGTAAACTTCTGACCCACTGGGAATGTGATGAAAGAAATAAAAGCTTAAATAAATAATTCTCTCTACTATTATTCTGACGTTTCACATTCTTAAAATAAAGTGGTGATCCTAACTGACCTAAGACAGGGCATTTTTACTAGGATTAAATGTCAGGAATTGTGAAAAACTGAGTTGAAATGTATTTGGCTAAGGTGTATGTAAACTTCTGACTTCAACTGTATGGGGTGAATCTCCAGGGAGATGGGCCTTGCTAGTAGATGTACACAGAAAGATTATTTGACTCTCAATCATGCCACTGGATGTAATGTGTTAAAACAATTTAACATGAGAGATAAGTTCCATTTCAAAATATATAGCTAGGGGAGAAAGTGTGTGGAAAGCTTTGGAAAGTAAAGCTGAAAGAAATGTTGAAAGGCATTGTGGTCCAAGTGAGAAAAAGAAAGAGATGGAAGGAAAGGGAAAATATACAGAAAACCAGGGGTGTTTTTATGCTTTCTGATCACTGAGCATGAACGCATAGAAACAGCAGCAGAGAAGCATCACGCTTTGGTCATATTGAGCAGAGCGACAAGAAAAGGACAACATAGAGGAGTCCTACAGTGCAGCAAGACACCTTCATACGCCACAGTACTGCCAGAGGGAGAACAAATAGAGAGTGACATATATATAGAGAGAGGCCTCTTCTTTAATCAGAGAAGAAATGCTCTTCTGAGAGAAGACGACACAAGCCAAACAGCAGGTCAAAGCAGCAAGAGAAACAAACATGGAGAAGAGACACTTTCACTCAGAGAAGACTGATAAGGGAGAAGGCAGGTCATGCCAGCAGGCCTTAGGGGAAGCCACACACACACACACGCATATAACACACACCCACACACGCACACAGGTGCAATCTGAGGTTCTCACCCCGAAAAGAATAGTGGACAAATTGGTCAACATGCATCACAAAGGATTATTTAGATAACCAGGTTTCAGGCTATTCCTTAAGACAGTGTTCTCTTTTCTCCCCCCACTTTATTCACTCTCTAATACAAACTCATTATATTTCTCTCTGTCCCTTTCTTTCTTTCGTTCTTTCTTTCTTTCTCTCTCGCTATCCTTCTTAAGCCCTCATTACAATAAGCCCTGGGTCAGAGGGCCCTGGCCCTCCTTTCTGTTTGTCGTTCCTAAGAGGAAGAAGATTTACTTGGAGAAAGCCCTGATTGTCAAAATGGGACAGTTCCAAATGTCTTGTATATACTCCAATGTGGGGAACGGGTCAGCAGTGTGTGGGGAACTGGTCAGCATAACCCGACCTACTAACCCTAACCTTTTGATCTGATTATTAATGTTGCTACAGATCAATTAGTGGAAGAACACAATGTATTCTAACGGCTGAAGACAGAATTTAGACTGGGGAATTGTAAAGATGGTATTAAGTCATCTTATAGGAGGGCATTCTATTGTGTGGCCTTTAATTGATGAACCCCTATTTGCTGACTCGCAGAGAGAGAACACTGCTTAAGATAATCCTCCTCAAGGTTTTGCACTTCTCAAACAAACAGAGATAAACAGAAGATGCAGAACACTGCAGTAGAGAAGAAACAGGCTAGAGCATAGTGTATTCATAAGGAGGGAAGAGTTAGAAGTAAAGGACGGGGTAGAAAGAGAGAGAGACAGAGAGAAGGAGAGAGAGAGCTACTTGTACAGCTGCGGAAGAAAAGCCAGAGAGCTGTTCAAAATGAGACTTATCCCTCTGAACCGACTGTTTTATCACATCTTGGAGAGCCTCCCCTGTAAGGGAGGAGACGGCATTGGTTACTTACGGCAAATAACCTTTCTATGTACACCTCCTCATTGACCTTATCCCGCAGCATGTCCTGAGAATGGCGGACAAAGGTCACGTAACCATCTGCAATGTCCATCCCAGGCTTCTGCAGAACACACAAGAGAGAAAGAGCGAGAGAGAGAGAGAGAGAGAGAATGCGTGAGAGAGAGAGAGAGAGAGAGAGAGAGAGAGAGAGAGAGCGAGAGCGAGAGAGAGTTGAGAACAAGAGGGAAATAATAATTAGTCCCAAAACAACAGATTCATTGTCTCACCAAGGCACTGAAACCTGTTTACTTCATAATAGACACGATGGAGACCAGCAAAGTGACATAAGTTATTATCAACTGTTATGTAATGTCAAGCTCTAAGACATGCATATGAAAAACTGACAGGTATTAAAATAAACATTCAACCCAAAGTGTTATCAAATTGTCATTTTCATCTCAGAAAAAAGTATTGAAATGTACAGTTGACATCTCTGGAGAGGTGTTTCATTTACGGTGCATCTAGACCCTGGGCTATGGCTGTCTTTTTTACTGAACTTCCTATTAGAGATGTGTACTTGGCACAGAATCATCTGTCACAGTCTGGGCATGTGCAAAGTGAACAGAAGAACCAGGAACACATGATCAGGCTGCTGAACAGACTGTTAGGAGGGCTGCCATTTCTCATGCCATCTCAAATATTCAAACAGGACAATGCGTTTGCAAATAAGACACTCAATTTGTGTGTGTGTGTGTGTGTGTGTGTGCCTTTCCCCCTCCCGCTTCTTCTCCGGTATATGAAACACATCCTCCCGTGCCGGCAGACGAGGTCATATGGATTTGTATCAGCCGCTGTAAACCGAACTTAGTTAACACATCCCTGAGTGGTTCCAAAGGGTGCAAATTAGTATGTTTCTCCAGTGTAATTGTATTTTGTGCATTAAGCAAACAATTACCATGCAGAAACTAGGGCTCTGGCCCTGCGGACATAAGAGGCCCAATCAAAGATTCAATGACAAGGCATTCATTTAAAAAGTGCCGTGTTGAGCCTTTGTGGGTTTTTGTTACACAACACAACAGAGACACTCACAATGTGTGCCGCATGACATGCCAAGCTGGCTGTTTTTGACCAGATCCATATGAGGGAAGATGTAATGACACACACACAAACACACACACGTACACTTGGACTGGGACAAGAAAAACACAAGTACTGATAATAATACTATTCTCCCACTTACAGGTACATCCACATACTTTGATGCAGCTTTCACCTTGAAATGAGACAGAGAGTTTAGGTGAAAAGGAAATATTTGAGATTCCAACTGTGCAACTTCCTTTCATTGCAAAAGCTGTATAATGTGAGTGTAGCTTCAGTGTGCGACTGCAATATGCTTAAGTGAGTCATATCAGGAAATGTAATTGCACAGTTCACTCAGAATTTAATTAGACTTCTATTACAATGTTCAGGAAACTACTAAAATACTTAACCTTTTCATGCATTGGGAGTGTTATCATGAGCAAACTGAGGGAGAGTGCTGTACGTACTCTGAACATATGTTTGCTGAAGGTACATTATCTGAACAAGACTATTCCTACTCTATGATGATTAAAATAGTTATGTATGCAGTGTACGATGAGAAAGACGGGAATAAGCGAAGGAGTGCGTTCTTACTGTGAAAGAGAGGAAGGAGGAGAAGAGTGTGCCCTCATCGTATCTGGACAGTTTGGCTAGGACACTCTCTAGAATGACCACGAACTGACAGACAGGGAGTTGTGTTACTGGCAATTATATCACGTTTAAAACAATATTGTTGTAATATCCCTTTCAGATATGAGTAAGACAGTAACAGCACCTTTGCTACCAGTAAGGTGATCATCTCCTTCACAGTCTCCTCTATGAGAGCGTCGATTTGGGAATGGTACTGTCTCTGTTAGGAAAGAGACATGTTAGTCACAACGTCCAAATCCAGCATCCCTCCCTTCCCTTATGTTTGTTTGTTACCACGTCTCACAGTAGGCCAATATGCTAATCAGTAGTATGACAGCATTCTTTTGTCTTCACGTGAGCCATGTAAAAGACCTCAGACTAATTAATTCTGCACTTGTAATTGGTATCTGTCTCTGTCTCTAGATTGTGCAGATATGAGAACTGTCACATCTACCCCATGTATATTCAGTACCATCTACACACATGCTAATGAAATCAAAACATTTAAAGTGTTAGAAGACTGGGGAACACTGGGGAACACTGCATTGACAGCTAATTATACATTTGGGAACTGGGGGTGAGATTTCAATTGAATTGTTAGCCACACTTACCCAATCTCTAACAAACTTTCACAAGATAGAGAAAATAAATGAAAAGAAAGATAGAGGAGACATGGTGATGGTGAAAAAGCAAGCGACTACAGCAAAAGCACATATTCAAGCAAAAGCTAAATTAGGATACACAGCAATCGCAGTAAGTGCCATTGAAACTATTGTAAGTGAAAACCTTGACAGAAATGCATATACAGTATGTACTACTATACAACATGTATTGTATAAGCATAGCATTAAATAATATGAGCAAATAGAAAGAAATGGAAGCATAGAAATGCTGATTCTAAGTGAGCTGGAGCTACTGAATCCATGCAATTAAGAGAATACACATCTAACACACAGCTGGTGAGCACAAAAGGATTTTCCCAAAGTGCATTGGTACTGCTCCAGGGTGGATACCGATCTGTATACCCAGTGCAGCATGCTCAGTGATATATCATAGAAATCAGAGTGAAAGAGAAATCACTGAAATCACTATTAGACATCAATAGAATCATATACATTATATTACATAAAATAATAGGTGAAAACTTTACACTAATTCAAAGACTGTGTAAATATGAGTGTTGGTCTGAGGCTGTGCAGATGGAGGTGGACTGGTATCTGATGTCTGATCTAAGACTGGTATTTGATGTCTGGTCTAAGACTGGTATCTGATGTCTGATATAAGCCTGGTATTTGATGTCTGATCTAAGACTGGTATCTGATGTCTGATTAAAGATTGGTTAAAGACTATTGGGAGGAAGGAATCTTCTACCTCCTGTCCCAGCTCCATGGCACACAGCTTGGCTGACTGGGCCTTGGCATCCACCATCACGTTGAACATGGTGCAGATGGACTGAGGCACGCGGAGGTCTGTGGTCCGACTGCTCTTCTGGAGCTTGGACTCAAAGGCCACCCTCGTTCTGGAGACAGGGACAGAGAAAGGAGAGAGGTTGTAGAGCACTATACACAGACCTACAATGTGTGTGTGTGTGTGGATGTGTTTATCTATACTTGCTTTTTCTAGGGAGTTTACGGTTAACGTTAGAATTAGCGTTAGGGTTAGAATTAGGTTTAGGGTTAGGGTTAGGAGCTAGGGTTAGTTTTAGGATTAGGGTTAGGAGCTAGGTTTAGGGTTAGGGTTAAGGTTAGGGTTAAGGTTTGGGTAATATTATTTTGAATGGGACTGAATTGTGTGTCCCCACAAGGTTAGTTGTACAAGACGGTGTGTGTGTGTATAATTGTGTGTAAGCAAGTGCAAGTGTCCCATTCAGGAGCGTTCTCTCACCGTTTGACGCAGGACTCGATCATGTCGCTGGACATGAGTTTGAGCCTGCTCTCCAGGTGTTTGCCAAACTCCTCCTCAGGCCAGTGCAGGTCTCTGATGAAGGTCTGCAGCGCATCCAGCTTCCAGAATAGGTCCTCGGACGTCCCCGAGCCATTACTGGGCAGGAAGAACAGGGCACAGGTCAGTGGTCACAGCTAAGAGGTTAAAGGTTAGAGCACTGGTACCCAACAGGAGAACACATGGGGGGTAGAGGACTACATCAAGGATCAGAGAGGATGGGCAAATCTAGGTCTCAGGATTCCATTTGTTTGGGTTATTTCTACCATTTACTGATTGGTTACAATATATTTTGAATGGAAGATACTATATCTTTGATCTATTCCTGGCCAATGAGGTTCTATGAATTATGTTCATCAAGGTACCAATCAGTGTATGGTAAAAATAAACAGACATGAGTATGTCTTTGACCAATCAATAACCCCAGAGTTGAGTAGTTATTAAAACCAGGGAAAGAGTAGGGGTCCATGCATACTGCAGGTTGGTCAGTTAGTTAGTGCACTCTGGGAAAACACACAATGAAGGGTGGGGTTGCTTTCTGATGCGGTGGAGGAGACTGTATACCACTCCCCTTCCCTGCCCCCTTCCCCCAACCCTGCAGACAGAGAGCAGCTCTCTCCAACCACACAGATCTCTCCAGACACACAGGGGCCTCCTCACAACTAGTGCCCACAGGTAAGAGCTCCAACACAGGGTAAACAGGGACTTGTCCTCCCTAGCACACTGTGGCAGACTGGAGATCAGAAAGATGTGATGGAAAGATACAAATTCAACACTTTGAAACACTGGCTTGGGTTGGGCCTCATTTAATAATGGTGTGTAATTTAGCATTTTCCATTCTTGTTGTTTTTCAATTAGCTTAAAAAGTAATTTGTGTCTTTCCACCATTCAGTTCAAACACATGCAGTAGGAGGAAAATGAAAAGCCATTGATGGTTCTCCATTTTGAAACACTGCCTACTCTAACCCCATGCGAGGGCCTTGGCATGAACATGGCTGCAGGTAGAACAACAAGAACACTGGGACAACTGGGGTCATGGAAACAGAACATCAGATCACTGGCAGTGTTTTACTATATATTTTAGAATAGGCTGAACCTGTTTTTTTCCTAATTATCAACAATGTGGTTGTGTCAATGCTGTGTTTGAGTTTTCTTTTGTGGGGTGAGATTGGCTTAGTCTTTCTGGCTTATTTATAAGATACCAAACCTGCGTTTAGTTCTATCTTTGACAGAGCAGTACCTTTAAATTCTGGCAGCGAATGTATTAATTTAATCTCTCTCTCTCCTTTCACACATTTTTAGTAGCTGGTGCTGAAGCTGTTTCACTTTGGTTTGGAAAGTGGGATAGATAATGTGTCAGGTGTACCTCAAGGTGCAGAAGAAGAGCTTTTAATCAACATATCTAAACATAGCTTTGCAATTACCTTCACACTATGTCTCTCCTTGGTCCCTCGGGAGGGCTGCTAAGAGCTAACAGGTAGACATGGAGTTTTACAACTGGCAGAATCACTAATGAAATGGGACTTAATTTCATATTCCGTCAATATCAAAGTGGGATCATTATTATTGTGTGAATGAGTGAACATGATCTGTATTAAAGTAGGAGTATCTGAGAGGCTCATGCCTCAGTAAAGACAAGCACCAGGAGACCTAGGGCTGATCAAAGTTCTCCCACTTCTGCACGTTAGGCATGGTTGGTTTTACAAATGCACTATAGGCCCAACTACGGTATGCATAAAATGTGATAGATTAAATTTGATTGACTGACTACAATGTTTAGCACAGTCAATGTTTTATTGTAGCCTATAGTTGAGTAGCTGCCGTTAGCTAATAACTAAGTAAAATCACTTAGGCCAAACCTGACCCCATCTAAATTCTGATTGGTGGATATTGCCTGTACATCTCTAGAAATTGAGTCAGTATCCCCGAGGACATGTGACATGTTCATGCCAAGAACACACATTCATTTTTCATGTTTCAGGCTCCAACAGAGACTCAATACACACTCTGAGTCACATGTAGCTGCCATCCAGTTGGGTGTAGAAAAGCTAGACATTGTTAGGAGGCTAACTGGTGGTAGATTTGGTACTTTGGGCATTTGGAGGTTGACATTTGGTAGATTCAAATCAGGAAGATTACTTGTTAGGCTCCTGTGTAGAGGAAACAGACATAAAATTAAAATAAGACGTGCTATAACAGCGGTAAAGTGGATATGTTTTAACAGGGAAAGTGAAGAAATGGTGAGAAAAAAACAATTGGTGAGAACAATAGCAGTTATTAAGATGAAATAAGTAAGGGTATCGTTGCAGTGAATAGAAGAGACAAATGTAATGTTGAAAAATCATGTGTAAAGAGTGTCTTATCAGCATTGAAGACAGTAATGACAGAAGATAGTTGACTAATGATAACTCAATACATGGTGACAGCAAACTGCTATGACATTGATACAAGGGATACCATTTGAACACTAGGGAATACCAAACATTGAGGAAAAATGTTTCCGACAACATTTTCAGACATATGGTCTTACCTGCAGTAGGGAAAATTTGAATTGAATAGATAGTAAATAATCTTGTTAGTACAAATTAATATATTTGGTATTGGTTTACTTTGACTCCATATCCATAACGCATTTATTACACATCTTTAAGTATTTCATGAACGCTTTATAACTGGTCCCAACCACATTATTAAAGGTTAATGAAAAATATTCATAGCATATCTTAATAGATGCATCATTACAATGACAGTGTAGTGTCATCAATATGGCTGTTGTCAAAAGTGTGCTTCTGCCAGTGTTAGTGAATATGCCAAAAGGCCAAACCACGTTTTGAGACTTCTTCTTCTTCTTCTTCTTCTTCTTCTTCTTCTTCTTCTTCTTCTTCTTCTTCTTCTTCTTCTTCTTCTTCTTCTTCTTCTTCTTCTCACTGAGGTCAATGGTGCAAGAAGATCCCCACAGGGTTGAATCCTCAGGGTACATTTTACGGATCAAATCGTGTAGTTGAGGGTCATACTATAACTCTTCCGTAACTCATTAGCAACCTTCCTCCACATCACAATTAAGTTGGTCATACTGGTCTATTACGCATACATGTAGGGTCTGTATGAATTGTATGTAGTCACATTAAAGTCAAATCTATTTTCCCATTCATAAAGCATTTATAGCTAAGCACTTCATGGTAATTAACTGTGCAGTTTGCCAATCTGATCTATAACACCAACATTAAAGGTCTATGTATGAACTTTATGCAGTCAATGTACTGTCATTTCAATATTCTCATTCATAAAGCATTTATAAGGCATTTATAAACATGCCTCACTTATCAAAAAGAATACGGACACAACACAGAATGTTATTTTATTTAAATTTTCCATATGTAACGTTAGCTAGCTTGCACAGAAAACAATTGCTGAGGATCGCAGAAGAATCCTACAATTGACATTTTTCAGTTAGTCTTTTCTTGAATAGATTTAACTGAGATTCATATTCAAAGCTTTCAAATTCAATTCCCCATTTTAGACTGATAGCTAGCAATAACTTTTTTATTGAGTAAAATGTAATAACATAAGGAGGTAAAGCTAACTAGTGTTTCCCCCTTATTCACTAATGTAACGTTAGCTAGCTTTTACAACTCGGTCCAGAAACGTTCAAATTTTTTCATAAAACTCATGAAACATTTTGTTAACAATGTTAGCTATTTCACTATTTACATTGTACTTTTGCACATTACAGACCGTTTAAAATAGGACAAATTAAGAGAGACCATAGAGATAGACAGAGGACTCATCTTTGTATATGTGCCATTCTAGCATCTGTGACAGCATGGGAAGCGCCATGGAGGCCATCTCCATTTAGAAGTAGTCAATGTTCTTCTTCACGATTGGCTGATCCCACCTGATGACCCGGTTGGACATGACTCCAACAAGGTCACCAGGAGGGATCAGCCAATGAAGTCGGAAGTCCCACCCAGTTGACTACATTAAAATGGTGGAAGCCCTCAATGGAGCTGCCCATGCTAATACGGCCTTTTGGCCACTAGAAGCCTCTATAATTCTCTACGTTTTGACTGCAGATGAGAGGTGAGAAGTCATGGGGGCATCGCTTCCGGGTGACAGCCCAGCATTCTTCTGGCTTCTTAATAGCTATTTTTGTTATTTTAAATGTACAAAGGTACACTTTCAGTTTTTTAAATGATTTTTGTAGAAGTGAGAGGTCACCTCTCACACACTCCTCCTGTGGCAGTGCAATCAAAATGGAAAGAATGTCATGATGTTTCTGTCTCTGAATTCAAATCAAATAAATATAAAATGGTCACATGCTTCATAAAGAACTGTAGACTAACAGTATGATGCTTACTTACGAGCCCTTCCCAACAACGCAAAGAGAAAAAGATAAATAATATCAAAATATCAAAATAATAACACAAGGAATAAATACACAATGAGTAACGATAACTTGGCTATATCCACGGGGTACCAGTACCGAGTCGATGTGCAGGGGTACGAGGTAATTGAGGTAGATATATACATATACTGTAGGTAGAAATAAAGTGACTAGGCAACAGGATAGATAATAAACAGTAACAGCAGTGTATGTGATGAGTCAAAAGGGTCAATGCAGATACTGTAGTTAGTTATATAGTTAACCAATAGCTACCTAACTATTTCGCAGTCTTATGGCTTGGGGGTAGAAGCTGTTCAGGGTCCTATTGGTTCCAGATTGGTGCATCGGTACCGCTTGCCGTGTGGTAGCAGAGAGAACAGTCTATGACTTGGGTGGCTGGAGGGCCTTCCTCTGACACCGCCTGGTATAGAGGTCTGGTCGGATGCCAAGCAGTTGCCATACCAAGCGGTGATGCAGCCAGTCAAGATTGCTCTCAATACTGCAGCTGTACAACTTTTTGAGGATCCGAGGGACCATGACAAAACTTTTCAGCCTCCTGAGGGGGAAGAGGCGTTGTCGTGCCTTCTTCACAACTGTATTGTTGTGTGTGGACCATGATAATTCCTTAGTGTTGTGGACACAAGGAAGTTGAAGCACTCGACCTGCTCCGCTATAGCCCAGTCAATTTGGATGGAGCGTGCTTGGCCCTCCGTTTCCTGTAGTCCACGATCAGTTTCTTTATCTTGCTGACGTTGAGGGAGATTTGGTTGTCCTGGAACCACACTGCCAGGTCTCTAACCTCCTCCCTGTAAGCTGTCTCATCGTTGTCGGTGATCAGGCCTACCACCGCCGTGTTGTCTGCAAACTTAATGATGGTGTTGGAGTCATGCGCGGCCACGCAGTCGTGGGTGAACAGGAAGTACAGGAGGGGACTAAGCATGCACCCCTGAGGGGCCCTCGTGTTGAGGGTCAGCGTGGCGGATGCATTGTTTCCTACCCTCACCACCTGGGGGCGGCCGGTCAGGAAGTCCAGGATCCAGTTACAGAGGGAGGTGTTTAAACACAGGGACCTTAGCTTAGTGATGAGCTTGGAGGGAACTATGGTGATGAACACTGAGCTGTAGTCAATGAACAGCATTCTCACATAGGTGTTCCTTTTGTCCAGGTGGGACAGGGCAGTGTGGAGCTCAATAGAGATAGAGTCATCTGTGGATCTTTTGGGCGGTATGCGAATTGGAGTGGGTCCAGGGTGTCTGGGATGATGATCTGATGTGAGCCATGACCAGCCTTTCAAAGTATGTAATGGTTACAGATGTGAGGCTAAGGGGCGTTAGTCACTTAGACAGGTTACCTTGGCGTTCTTGGGCACAGGGACTATGGTGGTCTGCTTGAAACATGTAAGTATTACAGACTGCGTCAGGGAGAGGTTGAAAATGTCAGTGAAGACACTTGCCAGCTGGTCAGCGCATGTTCTGAGTATGTGTCCTGGTAATCCTTCTGGACCTGTGGCCTTGTGAATGTTAACCTGTTTAAAGGTCTTACTCACATCGGCTACGGAGAGCGTGATCACACAGTCATCCAGCACAGCTGGTGCTCTCATGCATGGTTCAGTGTTGCTAGGCTCGAAGCGAACATAGAAGGTATTTAGCTCGTCTGGTAGGCTTGCGTCACTAGACAGGTCGCTGCTGGGTTTCCTTGGTAATTCGTGATAGTTTGCAAGCCCTGCCACATCTGACGGGCGTCAGAGCCGGTGTAGTAGGATTCGATCTTGGTCTTGTATTGACGCTTTGCCTGTTTGATGGTTTGTCGGAGGGCATAGCGGGATTTCGTATATAAGCGTCTGGATTAGTGTCCCACTCCTTGAAAGCGGCAGCTCTAGCCTTTAGCTCAATGCGGATGTTGGCTGTAATCCATGGCTTCTGGTTGGGATATGTACGTACGGCCACTGTAGGGACGACATCGTCAATGCACTTATTAATGAAGCCGGTGACTGATGTGGTAAACTCCTCAATGCCATCAGATGAATCGCGGAACATATTCCAGTCTGTGCTAGCGAAACAGTCCTGTAGTTTAGCATTCACTTCATCGGACCACTTCCGTATTCAGCGCATTACTGGTACTTCCTGTTTGAGTTTTTGCTTGTAAGCAATTGGTGGCTGACTAAATACTTTTTTCCCCCACTGTAGACCTTTAATGTTGGTGTTATAGATCAGTGGCAAACTGCACAGTTAATTACCATGAAATGCTTAGCTATAAATGCTTTATGAATGGGAAAACAGATTTGACTTTACTTTGACTGCATAGAACACATACACAGACCTTTCATGTATGCATTATAGACTAGTATGACCAACTTCATTGTGATGTGGAGGAGGGTTGCTAATGAGTTATGAAAGAGTTATGATATGACCCTCAACTACACGATTTGATCCGTAAAATTTACCCTGAGGATTCAACCCCGTGGGGATCTTCATGCACCATTGACCTCAGTGAGAAGAAGAAGAAGGTAAGTCATGGGCCTATACTGGCCGGTGGGGAAATGGGGCTGGTACAGGCTATTTATCAGCATATTCACTAACACTGGTATGGCAGAAGCACACTTTTGAGAACAGCCATAATGATGACACTACGCTGTCATTGTATTGATTGCTCTATTAAGATACCTAAATATGTGCTCTTGCATAGCATGACATGAATATGCTATGGATATATTTAATTCACCTTTAATAATGCGGTTGAGACCTGTTATAACACGTTCATGAAATGCTTATGAGTAATAAATGCATTATGGATATGTAGTCAAATTAAATAGTTACCATATATTTTTACACAATTGTCCACAAATATATACTGAACAAAAATATTAGTTACAGTTCATAAAAGGAAATCAGTCAATTGAAATAAATTAATTAGGCCCTAATCTATGGATTTCACATGACTGGGCAGGGGCGCAGCCATTGGTGGGCCTGGGAGGGCATAGTCCCACCCACTTGGGAGCCAGGCCCAGCAAATCAGAATGAGTTTTTACCCCACAAAAGGGCTTTATTACAGACAGAACTACTCCTCAGTTTCATCAGCTGTCCCGGTGGCTGGTCTCAGATGATCCCAAACGTGAAGAAGCCGGATGTGGAGGTCCTGGGCTTGCATGGTTACACGTAGTCTGCGTTTGTGAGGCCGGCTGGACGTACTGCCAAATTCTCTAAAACAACATTGGAGGCAGCTTATGCTAGAGAAATGAACATTCAATTCTCTGGCAACTGTCACGCCTGCTCCCACTCCCCCTCCCTGGCGCTCGAGGGTGCCAGGCAGCCCATCATTTCGCACACCTGTCACCATCGTTACGTGCATCAGCGCTCATTGGACTCACCTGAACCCTTTGTTAATTACCTCCCCTATATCTGTCTGTTCCTCTGTTTGATCCCCGTGTCAGCATTAATGTCGTTATGTTTCCCCTGTCCAGACGCTGTCTGTGTTTTGTTTCATGTCTGTATATATTAAATGTTCACTCCCTGTACCTGCTTCTCGTCTCCCAGCGTCTGTCCTTACAACAACAGCTCTGGTGGACATTCCTGCAGTCAGCATTCCAACTGCACGCTCCCTCAAAACTTGAGACATCTTTGTCATTGTGTGTGAGACAAAACTGCACATTTTAGAGTGGCCTTTTATTGTCCCCAGCACAAGGTGCACCTGTGTAATGATCATGCTGTTTAATCAGCTTCTTCATATTCCATACCTGTCAGGTGGATGGATTATCTTGGCAAAGGAGAAATGGCCACTAACAGGGATGTAAACAAATTACATGGCATGGGACCAACACTTTACATGTTGCGTTTATATTTTTGTTCAGTATACATACTTTGTGTGGATATCAACCTATTTCATGTACAAATACATGGTACACATGATCACCCAAAGAATATCTGAATATTTATTTTAACATGAACAGGAAAGCCTAAAATCATTGACATTAATTCAAGTTTGAAAACTGAAGATATTAGCGTCTACCCATATTGTATGTTTGATAGTACCCAACACACTTCATTGATTAATTTGCCTAAATGAATAAAGGTATGCTTAGGCTACTGCATTATGACTAACCTAGGTGCCAGTCAGTTTCTGCTATAGCCAACTTGAATGCAGAAACTGTGTAGCACATTAGGGTGTTGATTCTAGAGGTTGAGGTGTCCTTACTTGACAGGCTCCCAGGACTCTCTCTCGAAGCCCCTGTGGATGGACTGGGCGATAGATGACTCCATGAGGTCCACATATCGTACCACCAGGGGGGCGTACAGGTCCTGCAGGTGTCTGTGGAACTGTCCGTTGCACAGGTTATCTGAGACAGGACAGATCATATGCAGTGGGGAAAAAAAGTATTTAGTCAGCCACCAATAGTGCAAGTTCTCCCACTTAAAAAGATGAGAGAGGCCTGTAATTTTCATCATAGGTACACGTCAACTATGACAGACAAATTGAGAGAAAAAAAATCCAGAAAATCACATTGTAGGATTTTTAATGAATTTATTTGCAAATTATGGTGGAAAATAAGTATTTGGTCACCTACAAACAAGCAAGATTTCTGGCTCTCACAGACCTGTAACTTCTTCTTTAAGAGGCTCCTCTGTCCTCCACTCGTTACCTGTATTAATGGCACCTGTTTGAACTTGTTATCAGTATAAAAGACACCTGTCCACAACCTCAATGGTCAGATGAAACCAAAATATAACTTTTTGGTAAAAACTTAACTCGTCGTGTTTGGAGGACAAAGAATGCTGAGTTGCATCCAAAGAACACCATACCTACAGTGAAGCATGGGGGTGGAAACATCATGCTTTGGGGCTGTTTTTCTGCAAAGGGACCAGGACGACTGATCCGTGTAAAGGAAAGAATGAATGGGGCCATGTATCGTGAGATTTTGAGTGAAAACCTCCTTCCATCAGCAAGGGCATTGAAGATGAAACGTGGCTGGGTCTTTCAGCATGACAATGATCCCAAACACACCGCCCGGGCAACGAAGGAGTGGCTTCGTAAGAAGCATTTCAAGGTCCTGGAGTGGCCTAGCCAGTCTCCAGATCTCAACCCCATAGAAAATCTTTGGAGGGAGTTGAAAGTCCGTGTTGCCCAGCGACAGCCCCAAAACATCACTGCTCTAGAGGAGATCTGCATGGAGGAATGGGCCAAAATACCAGCAACAGTGTGTGAAAACCTTGTGAAGACTTACAGAAAACGTTTGACCTGTGTCATTGCCAACAAAGGGTATATAACAAAGTATTGAGAAACTTTTGTTATTGACCAAATACTTATTTTCCACCATAATTTGCAAATAAATTCATAAAAAATCCTACAATGTGATTTTCTGGATTTAATTCTAATTTTGTCTGTCATAGTTGACATGTACCTATGATGAAAATTACAGGCCTCTCTCATCTTTTTAAGTGGGAGAACTTGCACAATTGGTAGCTGACTAAATACTTTTTTCCCCCACTGTATGTTAGAGGAAGTAATTCATTAAACTGTAACACCATAGGAACATTCATCAATATAACATCCAAGGGAGAATTACTTGGAAATGCCTCTCCTTCCTGTCTTCCTTGGAGTGATCGCTGATATGAAATGACTGGTCTGATGAAAGCTATGAGGTGGATAGCGAGACTAATAGTAGTCTAGCTCCTCGCTATCTTTTGTATATCTGTTGCCTATAGTTTTCTTTAGACAAAGCACGTTTCCTCTAGATTCAACTTGTAAAAAGGCAACGCTAACACAGACCGTGGGAGATAGAATGGAGGCCAGTGTGTGCTAATGCGATGGCTCACGGCTCCACACAGTGGGTTTGATTTTTATTCCTTTGAGCGCTCGCTCTCCCTCTCTGTGTGTGTGTGTAGGCTATATGTGTGTGCTGCGTGTATAGAAGTCAAGGTCGATGATACACAGTAGGTGCAATGTTTATTTTGTTCCCTGATTGTCGTTCTCCAATTAGCCACTTGAGCGGCTGCTGTACACTTTGATGTATTTGTCCAGAAGTGAGGATGCAGGGCTCGCCCCTCTCCCAGCCACTTCTGTTTTAGACCTCATTAACTGCTTCAATGGCGTCTGACTTTGGCACCTGTCTGGTGCTAGGGCTATTTCCTGCCATATAAGCTAGCTGATTTGGGGAGACAAAACAAATGACCTTCTGTGTAAAATGCCCCTGTGATATGGATTGGTAGTTGTGGGGATGTTGCACTGTGTGTGTAGTGTGGACTTTGACGTTGTACATTGTGTTAGTGTGCTCCTGTAAACCACTGGAGGACCCTGAGGGAGATGGATGGCTGCATGGATGGATGGATGCTATTTTGGTGGCCATCTCACTCATCATTGTGTCAGGTTTGCATGATGAGTTATGCTGTCAAAGTCATGGGAATTAGAATTACTAGCATTACATGGAATTAGTCCATGTATGCTACATCAATCATACTGTATGTAAAGTGTACACTATGAAATCCAACACATCATGTGTTGACATGCAGTGGTCACTGGAGCCTTTTACTATTATAAAAGTAAATTGGGGAAGAATACCATTAATTTTGCCCTTCTGTTTGGCTTGTCTCCAGATGGTCTTGTTGCTATGATCATTGCAATGTGAATAACCAATCGGTTATTAAAAAAAAAAAATGCCACTCGTGAATGTGGCCAATTGTGCAGCAGTAGCAAGTGAGCATAACAAGCTGTTCCAGTCTAAGTCCATTAAGCCACTGCAGGTGAACAACAGACTACATTACATCCTTCCAGACTCCTGGCTGACAAGCTAAAAGGAGACTTTCACCAGGGACAATTAGCCCAGTGCAGGTTCACTTCACAAAGGCAGTGATAAGTGTTTCTTTTCTGGCTCACGCTTTCAGCACCCTGGACAGTGCTCCTACGGCAACTGCAGTTCATTAGGGAGATGACAGGGCCCACAGCAACCATTTCACTGTTAGTCTCTCAGCTCTTACTGCGAAGCTCCCAAAGCACTCTATTGTCCTCTCAATCACCTTCATCCCTTTCTTTATACTGGAGTCAAATGCAGTGGGAAAGTAACATTAGATCGGAACATATTCTTCTCAATTTGGATCTCAAAGTAAGGTTTAAGTTTCTCCAGTTCACCAAGATCAACCACAATGAATATTCAATAAAAACACAGTCCTATGTGACATAAATGCGCCAGACTCATGTTAAGTGTGTGCTGTATGGTTCTGGAGTGCTAAATGCTGTGCGTGTCTGTTCATAATGTAGCCCTGGTTCAGGGCCTGGGTCGGGATTGGAGGCACTCACAGTCGGTCCTCAGGAAGTCGTTGAGGAGTTGGAAGAGAGGGAAGCTGTCCCAGCTGTCAGGGGGCTGCACCTCCAGAGCAGCGTCCATGTCCACCGCATACAGAGACAGGAAGGTCTCCGCGTGCTCCACCATCAGGTCTGACCACCACGCAAACGCCTAGAGAGAGCGAGAGAGAAGGAGAGAGTGAGAGAGAGGAAGAGAGAGAGATAGAGAAGAGAAGGAGAGAGAGGAGAAGAGAGAGAGAGAGAGAGAGAAGTAGAGAGATTCCTGCTCTCTCTCTCCCTACTCTCTCTCTCTGCTCTCTCTCTCTTCCTCCTCTCTCTGCCTCTCTCTATCTCTCTCTCTTCTCTCCCCTCCGCTCTCTCTCGCTCTCCTCTCTCTCTCTCTCTCCCTCTCTCTTCGTTCTCTCTCTCTCTATCTCTCTCGTACCTATCTCTCTCATCTCTCTCTCTCTCTCTCTCGTGCTCTCTCTCTGCTCTCTCTCTCTCTCTCTCTCTCTCCCCTCTCCTCCCCCTCTTTCTTCTTTCGCCTCTCCCCCTCTCGTTTCTCTGCCTGTTTGCCTCCCGCCCCTTCTCGCGGGTTCTGACTCAGCTAGAGTGCGGCATGGGCCTATACTTACGTTTGAGGCCCCCTATCTCCGGGTGCCAAGCGGTAAAGGGAGGCAGGTTGGAGAAATATACAAAGATAGAGGGACAGAAACACAATAGAGGATAAGAGTATGCAAATATAATACAAGCACATCTCTAACTACAAGCCTCACAGCACTGTCATTCTCTAGAGAGGAAAAGGGAGAGAATGTTACTCCACTGATCTATATAAGGGCTCTTTTCTTCTCTTGTTTTCACAATAAGAGTCAAGTTGTCACCTCTGAGGCATCACACAGAGATCTCTGGGGTACACTTCACAGCTTTGAGCACAGTGTTTCAGTTCTGCGCTTGAACACGGCTAAACGTGCACTGTTTTGTTGGCCCACAGAGAGCTGCGTAGACACGGCTCCTTGACTAAGTCATTCATACAGAGCAGCTCTAAGCCTCCCCATAGGATAGATAGAATCAGTGGAGTGACAGAGTCTGGAACGGGCTGGTCTCATGCAGGTTAGCACTCATCCTCCCATGCTCCCCCTCTCTCTTCCCATTGGAGGACTTGGCCATCAGCCATTCACATCGTCACACCTCTGTGATGTGAATGTTCCCATGGGCGCCATGCACTCTGGCATGGGACGGTTGACATGACAGCGCCAGCAGCAACCAGCAACAGGATCTCTGGGTCAAAATGGTGAGGCTCATAACCATAAATAAAACCTTCATTACAGGCCTCGAGAAGTGGGAGGATTCATCTACTGATTCTCCACATTGGCTGCTGAATTGAGTAACAGTTAGGGTCAGTTTAATTTCTATTCAAGTCAATTAATAAACTTCATTGGACATGGCATACACTATACACAAACATTGTATTAGATTCGCCAATTGAGTTGAATGAAAATGGAATTGACCCAAACTGAATGAATGAGGTGACTGAGGGTACTGAGTTGAGGAGTGGAAGATGTATCTATTGCTGCTTATGCTGGTCTACTGACAGTGTTAGTGTTCATTTCTGATGGGGAAATTCACACAACAATGCATTTGAGAAATGCAAGAGGGGATAGAGGGGGGTCAGCCCTTTAGGGGAATGGGGGGGGTAAATTTTGACGGAAATGGACCCTATTTTTGTTATTCCGAACCCGGCAGCAAATTAGGGGGTGAAATTTAAAATGGAGGTTTGGGGGGCAAAAGGGGTTTTAGAATTAGAGACTTAAGATCACCCTGATACCCAAAGCAAAAAAATGAGGGAGGGGTTTAAAAGGTGGGTTTTTAGTTAAATTTTTTTAAAAAATTTCCTTCCTTTTTCCCCCTTTAAAATTTTAAAAATAAAAGGGTTTCTTTTTCAAATTTGGGGTCCCCTTTTTATTTTTTTTTTAATGGAGGGAGAAAAAAAAAGAATTTAAAAAAAAAACAACCAACCAATAAAAAAAATTTCAAAAACCCTACCAAACCCCGGTTGTTAAAAAAACAAAACCATGAAACTGGGTGTTATGTTTTGGGTAAATGCTGGGTGGGTCGTTGTTTTGCATGGCGTTTTTCATTTGAGTTATTACATGAGGAGGATGTTGTTGTGGACAGCTTTCCTCAAACACACAGCACTACAGAGTAGGTCTTTCACTGACAGGATGGGACCAGAGTTGGCTGTGGCAGTTGGGGTGGACAGAGAAAACTGCACCAGACGGTGAGGGGGGCGATGTTGTGGTGGTGGGGGGGGGGGGGGGGGGGGGGGGGGGGGCGCAACTATTTTAGTAGGAGGGGTCTAAATATGATAGACAGGAACACTGCCACAGTGCTTTTTGGGGTTTGCCTTATCACCAAAGGCAACCCTTTGGGCTGCACAAGCACTTGCACAACTCTCTGGGATGGGCTGACAAGTATAAGGGAAGAAGTTGGGGTACAAGGCTATTACTAGGAAGGAAGATGGAAACAGTTAAGATCATCCCTGGGTATTGGGCATCTTCAGGACATGCACATAGTATGGGAGGTGGGTGTGGCAGGGGTTAGGGGTCATGGCAGGTGGGGGGTGGCAGGGGTTAGAGATCATGTTATCAGGATCTATCACATACCTCTTTGCCCTGTCCGAACATTCCCCGCAAACAAAACAAACAATGAGAGAACAGGAATGGGTTAAGTCAGGTACACTTCTGCAAAGTTGGCGTCCCCGTGTTGACTTTTTCCTTCTAATGGTTAGTTGGCAGAAAATATGCAATGATGACAGTGAAAGAAAGAAACAATCCAAACCAATGGAGAAAAAATAGTAGTTTCAAACCATACTCAAGAGGTCAAGGTCTGTTAAAAAAGATGTCAACATTCTCTTTTATGAATAAACATAATATACACATGGAAAACCATGCACTTGGCCTAGCCTTCACATAATCAATAGACAATTTGGTGTTTAAAAATGAGGTCTGTAAATTCTCTTCACGTTTCTGGAAAGAGTACAAATGCAGTCATGTGCCACTAAAAAGTATGTGATGCAACAACACACCCAACCTCCACTTCATTACATTACACTACACACTATACTACACTACACTACTCTACCCACCTTCCAGGTGGCCATGTACAGGAAACAAAGTGACCCAATCAGAAGTCCCCCAGTCAAACTGTGCACTGCTCATTGTTGTCATCCCAAACTATGCCTGGTGCACATGGAATGATGAAACCTTTTTGACCTTTGAACCCACACCTTGACCTCCTACCGTGCAGGCCAGTGCGGTCTGGCTAGCATACACCAGTGAGATATGGAGGAAGAAAACAGAGATGTGAATACTGTACCGACTGATTTCCAGTACTTGTGACTGTAGCCTGTTAAACACAGAGTCAGACACAGAATAAATGCCCCATGGTTCTCTGTAGTTCTTCATTCTCTGCTCTGGTAATAACTGACTTTGGATTTTCCCTGGTCACGTTGCACAGTGTTTGATAGGAATATATTGGACATAATTTGTGTGTGTGAGACAGAGAGAGTGAGAGAGAGAGAGAGAGATGAGAGTGAGAGAGAGAGAGAGAGAGAGAGAGAGAGAGAGAGAGAGAGAGAGAGAGAGAGAGAGAGAGAGAGAGAGAGAGAGAGAGAGAGAGAGAGTGTGTGTGTGTGTGTATTGCACTCACCTCTGCATGGTGCTCCTCGTTCTGTTGGAGGACCTCGATGACCAGCTCGGCCAGACGGATGGTGTCCTCCAGCTTTTTGGCAGGGGTGACTAAGCGCCCTACATTCTCTGAAGCACAAAGGTCACAGGTCAATATGGAGGGAGATACATGGCTGTAAAACCTCCCCTCAACCTCTGATCAACGTTATGGTAATGGTGTGCTATTGTGTAAGCCTCAGAGGGCAACACTGTAATTACACCATCAAGAACAACGCAGGTATAATGAAACAAATGAAAACAGGGAAAACAACAGATATGTTCCACAGTTATCATGCAAAATGTGCAGAACATCGTGCAGCGCTCATGTTCTTTATGACATCCACACTTTGAATGTTGCTTATGTGAGAGTCTCATGTTTAACATGTGACATGCAAAACTACTCTCACTGTAGTCTGGTACTTTTCCCCTGCTAAGTAGGATAGCTGTGACAACCAGGATAAATATAACCACTAAGAAAGTGTAGAGTGCAAGTATTGGCATTATTACATGATTTGTTTTTCCATCAAATCCATCTTGAGGAACAAAAAAACACAATTAAAGTCTGGTGTTCACATACTACTACTACTAATGGATACCAATTCAGTCTACAGCAATCATGTAACGAAACACAACCAAGGGACGAAACACAACCAGCTCAACTGACCAATGAGGTTGTGATGATACTACACATAAATGTCAGGCTTTTGAAATAAAGAAAATAATAAGTAATACGGTGAAGAGAAGGTATATGTGTGAGAGAGAGTCAGCAGAGGTAACAGTACCATACATATTTGGTTCCTCGTTCAGACTTCAGGGCATCTCAGGCAGGGTCAAAGATCTTTAGATATGGCTGATTTACTTGTTTCTTAACGAATCAGTCAGACAGACTTCTCACAACAACACTGACTTACTTGACTTACAGTGGGGAAAAAAAGTATTTAGTCAGCCACCAATTGTGCAAGTTCTCCCACTTAAAAAGATGAGAGAGGCCTGTAATTTTCATCATAGGTACATGTCAACTATGACAGACAAATTGAGAAAGAAAAATCCAGAAAATCACATTGTAGGATTTTTTATGAATTTATTTGCAAATTATGGTGGAAAATAAGTATTTGGTCACCTACAAACAAGCAAGATTCCTGGCTCTCACAGACCTGTAACTTCTTCTTTAAGAGGCTCCTCTGTCCTCCACTTGTTACCTGTATTAATGGCACCTGTTTGAACTTGTTATCAGTATAAAAGACACCTGTCTACAACCTCAAACAGTCACACTCCAAACTCCACTATGGCCAAGACCAAAGAGCTGTCAAAGGACACCAGAAACAAAATTGTAGACCTGCACCAGGCTGGGAAGACTGAATCTGCAATAGGTAAGCAGCTTGGTTTGAAGAAATCAACTGTGGGAGCAATTATTAGGAAATGGAAGACATACAAGACCACTGATAATCTCCCTCGATCTGGGGCTCCACGCAAGATCTCACCCCGTGGGGTCAAAATGATCACAAGAACGGTGAGCAAAAATCCCAGAACCACACGGGGGGACCTAGTGAATGACCTGCAGAGAGCTGGGACCAAAGTAACAAAGCCTACCATCAGTAAAACACTACGCCGCCAGGGACTCAAATCCTGCAGTGCTAGACGTGTCCCCCTGCTTAAGCCAGTACATGTCCAGGCCCGTCTGAAGTTTGCTAGAGTGCATTTGGATGATCCAGAAGAGGATTGGGAGAATGTCATATGGTCAGATGAAACCAAAATATAACTTTTTGGTAAAAACTCAACTCGTCGTGTTTGGAGGACAAAGAATGCTGAGTTGCATCAAAGAACACCATACCTACAGTGAAGCATGGGGGTGGAAACATCATGCTTTGGGGCTGTTTTTCTGCAAAGGGACCAGGACGACTGATCCGTGTAAAGGAAAGAATGAATGGGGCCATGTATCGTGAGATTTTGAGTGAAAACCTCCTTCCATCAGCAAGGGCATTGAAGATGAAACGTGGCTGGGTCTTTCAGCATGACAATGATCCCAAACACACCGCCCGGGCAACGAAGGAGTGGCTTCGTAAGAAGCATTTCAAGGTCCTGGAGTGGCCTAGCCAGTCTCCAGATCTCAACCCCATAGAAAATCTTTGGAGGGAGTTGAAAGTCCGTGTTGCCCAGCGACAGCCCCAAAACATCACTGCTCTAGAGGAGATCTGCATGGAGGAATGGGCCAAAATACCAGCAACAGTGTGTGAAAACCTTGTGAAGACTTACAGAAAACGTTTGACCTGTGTCATTGCCAACAAAGGGTATATAACAAAGTATTGAGAAACTTTTGTTATTGACCAAATACTTATTTTCCACCATAATCTGCAAATAAATTAATAAAAAATCCTACAATGTGATTTCCTGGATTTTGTTTTCTAATTTTGTCTGTCATAGTTGACGTGTACCTATGATGAAAATGACAGGCCTCTCTCATCTTTTTAAGTGGGAGAACTTGCACAATTGGTGGCTGACTAAATACTTTTTTCCCCCCACTGTATTTCCCATTTCTCAGTCTCTGTTTACAGTCCCAGTAAAATGGAGAGATTAACGTGACATTGTGGACTTTTACACTGGCAGAAGTGAGGCAAAGACCTCTCCTTGCTACTTCTGCTCTTTGCACACACATCTGTCATTGTGCTAGTGAGTCTCTGTAGTAGCAGGGGTTTAATTAGCAGTGTACAGAGGTACAGTTCTGTGACACACTGGCATAGTACTTTAAACCCAGTGGTGTCCGTGGACTGAACTGTGGACAGAGGATTGCCTCTTTGACTGAGTTTTGAAATGATGGCCTAGTCACCAGTATGGATGGAGGGATTAAAAGAATGCCCTCAAACAAAAAGGTAATTTCTTCCCTTAGTCAATGAAGGGGCAGGGGTGCTGGAGTGATAAATGTGAGGTGAGGGACAAGGGCAAAAATCTAGATCTTCTATAACAGAAACTCAGTATTGCCACATTCTACAGTATAAGGGATGTCTGCTGTTTTAGACCTGGGAAACCAGGTGTGAGGTCTGTTTAATCATTAAATTCCACTGAATAGACAATGTGTCACACAGAGTGACACCACACTCTTAGAAAAAAAGGTTCTAAAAGAGTTATTCTGCTGTCCCCATAGGATAACCGTTTTTGGTTCCAGGTAGAACCTTCTGTGGAAAGGGTTCTACATGGAACCCAAAAAGGTTCTAACTGGAACCAAAAAGGGTTCTTCAAAGGGTTATCCTATGGGGACAGCCAAATAACCTTTTTAGGTTATAGATAGCACCTTTTATTCTAAGAGTGCAGCAGGACTGCAACCCTGAAACAGTCTGAAGTGACATTAATAATTATGATGACTACAGTATGTGCTATTATCATCTATGATTTCATCTTAGTTCACTTATTTATTTCCAATGTATCAAAATGTCCATTGATATAAAAATATGGTAATCTATGGACAATAGCAGTCAGAATATCCAAACCATCTCATCACTTATGGTCAAATTTTGCAACCATCAATGCCAAACCATGACTGAGGTTTGTATTCAAAACTATTGCATTTTAGTGCATTGGAGATGTTTATAGTTCATGCACTTTCTGCAGAGGAAGTAATACTTTAATTGTACACCAACATACATTCTAAAGCATGTAATAACTGCTGTCTTACATGTACTTGCAATAAAGCAGTGCTAACTCTGCAGGTTTCAATCACACAAGTGTGATACTCAATGGCAATGGTCTGAATGGTCTTAAAATTGCTCCCTCCGTTCATGTGTTTGCTAATTCCCTCCATCTTCCCTCTTCCTCCCTTCCTCACTCTATCACTTCGTTTTCTTCCAGGAAGTAATCTAGTGGAGTAAGGCATCATTATAGGAAAGAGGAAGCATTTTAAAAGAATTCAGAGGATGTCCATTGGTGGAGCCACCACAGATGAGCGGTCTTAACAGGAGGGATAGAGAGAGGACTTGACAGTTAAGGTTACCACAGTCACCCACTGGGGAGGGCTGCATCTCCATCACTGGAATGCAGTGCAGGTACAGGGGAAACTACAGGGCAGGGTGTGGAGACATAACGCTGCCACAACGTTCCTGTAACATTCCCAGGCCGTGCCTCAGGAAGGCTGTGAGATGTTATGTTGCTATGGCTCTAGCAGGGTTAGGATACGCTAATATATATGATGTCACCTGGATCCTGATCCTTCAGATCTTTCTTATCTTTCTGAGTTTTCTCCGCTAAGTGAGAGCAGGAGAGAGGGAGAGCAGAGAATGAAAGAGAAGGAGAGACAAAGGATGGTGGGAGGGAGAGAAAGAGAGAGAGAAAGAAGTGGATAGTCAGTAATGAAAGCATGAGAGCAGGATAGAGTGGAAATCTGGAAAAGAGGTGGTTGAGCAACACCTTTCACTCTTCACCCAAGGGTTCTCCTATCTGGGTCTGATGTTTACCAGTAGTCAGACATAGACACACATATAGCTTCATACAGTAAAAAATTGACAGTGGTCCAAACAAAACCCAACCCCCCAAAAAGAAAACAAACACTTCAGGACATACAGTAAAAACTGTAACAATAAAGACAAGACATGACAATATGTGAATGTTTCTGTTGGAAAACGTGTAGAGATAGAACCTGTAAACATATTACATCCTGTCCTCCTTACGTTGCCACTTCCTGTTCCTGTTGTCTTACCCCTCTGGTCCCAAGTGTGAACTGATACAAACAGGGAATGACAATGCTCTCTATGGTACTGTAGCTGTATGCTGTACCTGTCTCATGTTCTGTACCTGTGAGACATGCTTCAACAGGACTGGGGGGGGTTTACACAGAAGCAAAGTAAAAATGCATTCAAGTCGCAGATAGGCATGGGAACAGAAAAAGGAGATAACAGATACAGTAGATAAGATATCTCATGGTCTTCACAGATAGATGGAGCCTTGGTCCTTCCCTGCTATTAGCTCACAGACAGACAGGCAGACAGACAGAGACTCTGGGTCTGGATCCCTCACAGGTAGCTTTCACTGACAGAAGCAACAGATCAAAAAGCCAAAGGACTCGAGAGAAGCAAGAGAGAGAGAGAGAGAGAGAGAGAGAGAGAGAGAGAGAGAGAGAGAGAGAGAGAGACATTGGTTCAGGGGGCGGCAGGGAATGGTAGTAGTGGAGGGGTGGGTGAAGTGCGAACGAGGAGATGTTGAAAACTGAAAAACATGAAGAGGGGAGGAGAAGGAAGGGTGGAGGAGAAGGAAGGGTGGAGGAGGGTGGGGCAGGATGAGGAAGGTACTCACGAATGGTTAAATCCATCACTTGAGACGCCAAGCAGAAGACAGGATGCTCATACATTTCTCTCTTTTTCCCTACAAGAGAGGATCGGGGCATGCAAGAGGCTGGGGTCAGAGGAGGAGAGGTCAAAGTTCAGAGGGTAGTTGCATGTGGTGGTTAGGGGTCCCCACAGCATCCTCTGTGGAGGTGGTGGTGGTGGAGCTTGGTGGCTGAGGAGGCTTGTGATGGGCCCGTGGAGACAGTAAGAGAGGCATCGATTTGACAGAAGTGTTGAATGTGGAGGAGAGTGGGTGGGTGGACAAAGGGCGTGGGGGTCACCTTTGGACACCCACCAGACTTTTCTATCAAGTTGGAGATTTTCCCGATCAAGGCAACAAACAAGCAAATGTTTATGAGGAACAGAATTAAGGATTTTTCTGCAGCATTGCCACTCCAAGAAACTGAGGGGAATCTCCTTCTGTATCTTCGGCACCCTCAGTTATTTCTTTATAGTCACTAGGGCAGTTACGGTGACCGTATTACCGCCACACTGGCAGTCATGAGTCATGACCGCAGTCAAATTGCACGTGACTGCTTAGTCGCGGTAACTAGGCTACTCCAAGCTCTGATGCTGCTGATGGTCATTAGTAACCTACCAAACTTGCTAACTGCCTTGTACTCAGCACTCTATTGTCCCTGTAATCACTCTGACATCAATGCAGATGTTTCGAAAATCAAATCAAACACTTCATGAGAGCCCATGCGTAACATTTTTGATGGCCTCTATTAAAAAGAGGAGGATCCCATCAGCTTTCTATAGGCTAGGCCTACTATATTCATTTCTCAAGTTTCCTAATATTAAGCACATAGATGACATGTAGTTTTTCCCCCTGCCCCTGTTCCGAGACAGGTGAATGATAATGGTCCATTCTAAATCAAAACAAATTTCACATATATATTATTAGCATATGTAAAGACAAGATTAAATCAAGAATAGTCTGATGGGTGAAAATATTAGCCTTTCACTTGTGAATGATGTGCATCGTGTGCAGTAAGGCAAGAAACAGCGCATGCCTTTTATTTGACTTTTTCAAATCATAGTCACACACCTCATGTAGCCTAGCCCACAGGCTTTTATATTGAAAAGGTTTGTATCACAACTAAAGTGGCCAAATGACTTCTTAAAATTAAGCACATTAATCTGCTATACAGAGCCTAACTGGCAAAGTATTCAGATTCCTTGACTTTTTCCGCATTTTGTTACGTAACAGCCTTATTCTAAAATTGATTAAATAAAACATGTTACTCATCAATCTACACACAACACCCCATAATGACAAAGCGAAAACAGGTTTTTAGAAATGTTTGCAAATGTATAAAAAAAAAAAAAACTGAAATACCTTATTTAAATAAGTATTCAGACCCTTTGTTATGAGACTCGAAATTGAGCTCAGGTGCATCCTGTTTCCATTGATCATCCTTGAGATGTTTCTACAACTTGATTGGAGTCCACCTGTGGTAAATTCAATTGACTGGACATGATTTGGAAGGCACACAACTGTCTATATAAGGTCCCACAGTTGACAGTGCATGTCAGAGCAAAAACCAAGCCATGAGGTCGAAGGAATTGTCCGCAGAGCTCCAAGACAGGAATGTGTCGAGGTTACCAAAACATTTCTGCAGCATTGAAGGTCCCTAAGAACACAGTGGCCTCCATCATTCTTAAATGGAAGAAGTTTTGAACCACCAAGACTCTTCCTAGAGCTGGCCGCCCGGCCAAACTGAGCAATCAGGGGAGAAGGGCCTTGGTCAGGGAGGGGAGGGGACGAAGAACCCGATGGTCACGCTGACAGAGCTCCAGAGTTCCTCTGTGGAGATGGGAGAACATTACAGAAGGACAACCATCTCTGCAGCACTCCACCAATCAGGCCTTTATGGTAGAGTGGCCAGACGGAAGCCACTCTTCAGTAAAAGGCACATGACAGCCCGCTTTGCCAAAAGGCACCTAAAGACTCTCAGACCATGAGAAACAAGATTCACTGGTCTGATGAAACCAAGATTGAACTCTTTGGCCTGAATGCCAAGCGTCACGTGTGGAAGAAACCTGGCACAATCCCTATGGTGAAGCATGGTGGTGGCAGCATCATGCTGTGGGGATGTTTTTCAGCGGCAGAGACTGGGAGACTAGTCAGGATCAAGGCAAAGATGAACGGAGCAAAGTACAGAGAGATCCTTGAAGAAAATCTGCTCCAGAGCACTCAGGACCTCAGACTGGGGCGAAGGTTCACCTTCTAACAGGACAACGACGCTAAGCACACAGCCAAGACAATGCAGGAGTTGCTTCGGGACAAGTCTCTGAATGTCCTTGAGTGGCCCAGCCAGAGCCCGGACTTGAACCCAATCAAACATCTCTGGAGAAACCTGTAAATAGCTGTGCAGCAACACTCCCCAACCAACTTGACAGAGCTTGAGAGGATTTGCAGAGAGGAATGGGAGAAACTCCCCAAATACAGGTGTGCCAAGCTTGTAGCGTCATATCCAAGAAGACTCGAGGCAGTAATCACTGCCAAAGGTGCTTCAACAAAGTACTGAGTAAAGGGTCTGAATACTTATGTAAATGTGTTATTCTAAAAAACAGTTTTTGCTCTGCCATTATGGGGCATTGTGTGTAGATTGATGAGGGGAAAAAAAACGATTTAATCAATTTTAGAATAAGGCTGTAACGTAACAAAATGTGGAAAACGTCAAGGGGTCTGAATACTTTCTGAATGCAATGTAAGCAGCGCGTGAGTTTCAAGTTTGTGGAAGAACAATTTTCACCATAAAAATACACCTTTCTAATAAAGCATTATATGCATTGCATTTGCGGTCACTTTTGAGGATGGTGTTTTCCCGTAATTGATAACATTTTGGAATATTTGCGCCATCATTCCTTCAATTCTGACCAGTTTCCCAGTCTCTGCTGCACGGTGGTGGCAGCATGCTTCACTGTGGGGATGGTGTTCTCGGGATGCTGAGAGGTGTTGGGTTTGCGCCAGACATAGCGTTTTCCTTGATGGCCAAAAAGCTCAATTTTTGTCTCATCTGACCAGAGTACCATCTTCCATATGTTTGGGGAGTCTCCCACATGCCTTTTGGCGAACACCAAACGTGTTTGCTTATTTTTTTTCTTTAAGAAATTGCTTTTTTCTGGCCACTCTTCCGTAAAGCCCAGCTCTGTGGAGTGTACGGCTTAAAGTGGTCCTATGGACAGATACGCCAATCTCTGCTGTGGAGCTTTGCAGCTCCTTCAGGGTTATCTTTGGTCTCTTTGTTGCCTCTCTGATTAATGCCCTCCTTGCCTGGTCCGTGAGTTTTGGTGGGCGGCCCTCTCTTGGCAGGTTTGTTGTGGTGCCATATTCTTTCCATTTTTTAATAATGGATTTAATGGTGCTCTGTGGGATGTTCAAAGTTTCTGATATTTTTTTATAACCCAACCCTGATCTGTACTTCTCCACAACTTTGTCCCTGACCTGTTTGGAGAGCTCCTTGGTCTTCATGGTGCCGCTAGCTTGGTGGTGCCCCTAGATTAGTGGTGTTGCAGACTCTGGGGCATTTCAGAACAGGTGTATATATACTGAGATCATATGACAGATCATGTGACACACAGGTGGACTTTATTTAACTAATTACGTGACTTCTGAAGGTAATTGGTTGCACCAGATCTTATTTAGGGGCTTCATAGCAAAGGGGGTGAATACATATGCACGCACCACTTTTCCGTAATTTATCTTTTAGAATTTTCTTAAACACGTTTTTTTTATTTTTTATTTTTTTCACTTCACCAATTTGGACCATTTTGTGTATGTCCATTACATGAAATCCAAATAAAAATCAATTTAAATTACAGGTTGTAATGCAACAAAATAGGAAAAACGCAGAGGGGAATGAATACTTTTTTAAGGCACTGTATCTGAGAGAGACATGTGAGTGAGAGGTGCATCGGAGCACAGCGATTGGCAGATGGGAAAAGGGAAATATAATTATTATAGTCAGCCCAAGGGCACAACAGCCACTTTGGCTGCAAAAGGCATGGATTTTGTTAGGTTGCATTATGACCACACAAGGGGGATGCAGCCGGGAAATTCGAGGCCTGGTGAGAATATTATCAAGTGTTTGTTAAATTGTGAATGAGAGACTGATGAAGTGTGTGCAGCCTGCTCAATAAACAAAGCAGAGCTCATTCCTTTCATGCAACTTTTTTCAAATCAACATTAGAGTCGCATCAAGCAGCCTTAGAATGTTTTAAAAATCAAAACATATAGCTAAACGTTTGTATCACAACTAAAGTTGCATAAATAACTCTAAATAGAGGAGGACCTATTTCTTTGTTAACCGCTTAACACAGAATAGCCGCATCTGCGCACTCCCTCAGAAATCATTTGGAGAAAATATCCTTTCTATTTTATTCAGCTATGTTCAATTGTATTCTTCATACTATAAAATAATATAAAATAATGCAACGGAATTCTAAGTAAATCTTGTCTGCTGAATGAACTAGTGTAGCCACAGAACAGATCAGGACCTAACATAAGTGGTCCTCTGTAGCTCAGCTGGTAGAGCACGGCGCTTGTAATGCCAAGGTAGTGGGTTCGATCCCCGGGACCACCCATACACAAAACATTTATGCACGCATGACTGTAAGTCGCTTTGGATAAAAGCGTCTGCTAAATGGCATATTATTATATTATTATAAGGACAACTCAGAGTATGCTATTTTGTTCTTCTGAAATAGACTACATTTTCTTCATATCATGGTTCTTTAGACCTGTCTAAAATAAATAATGGATTTATTGTGATGGTGTAGGCTATATTAAATTGATTTATTCAACTTTTTTAAATGTAGATATTCCAAAGGTCTGCATCAGTTGGCTTGTAGGCTATGCGGGGAAGCCAGGAGATGCTAAATGTGTTTATGTTAATTAACGGTCAATTACCATGAGACCGGCAGTTATTTGCTTGACAGTCACCGGCTGACAAAATGTCATGACCACCACAGCCCTAATAGTCACTGACTGGAATAGAGAAGAGCTTAATTTGAGAATAGAGGTTTCGATTTATGTAAAAACAGTATAGTGAAGTGTAGTCCAAGCTACACATACCTATACATGAATTCCAACACAGATTTTTTTTGTAAACTTGTCCATGGAACATGTTGCCAGTTCTGGATGCCTAGTAAAGAAAACTTGGGACATGCAACATACAGATACTGGGTTGCTGCAGAGGGCAATCCCAGCATGCCTTGTGCACTTGCCTTCCTGACTTGTGTTCATACTACAAGGAGCTTGGAGTGAAGCAGCAAAGCCAATAAACAAGGAGGAGGAAAGCAGAGAGGGGAGGTGACGGTGAACAGAAGATGAACGTTATTTCAAAACAAAGGAGAGGATAGGAAAGGGGTAGGAGAGAAAACAAGGGAAGGAGGAATTGTTGCTTCAGAGCATCACCCCACCTTGAAGCCACGACGGTGTGAGGAAGGAGAAGGACAGTGGGTTGACTGTGCCAGAGAGAAGCTGAGGCACACAGGAGTCAGAATAAAGATGGCAGATTCACGGGGAGTTGAATGCATTTTTACTTACTGTACACATCTCTAACATGCACATTTATTTAGGGAGCTACATCAATATAAAGGACACCTGTAAATGAAAAGAGGGTTTCAACTTTATAAGCACATTTAAAAGTAACAGCAGCCACAGGACGGGAAGCCGAGGTATTTTCACTGCAGCTGGGGACAGAACAGTTATATTAATACATATGAAAACGAAATCTTTGCTTTGAGTTAACTTATTTCCATTCATTGATTGTGTTTGACTTTGTTTTCTTCTTAAAATGCCCAGTGCAGCTGTTGTTATCTCCATATCAAATCCTTTCTGGGTAACAATTAAGTACCATTCTGAAATAGTTTTCCATTAAAATTGTTAAAAATAAACATGTTTCTCAAGCAAGAATTTTGCTAGGACTGTCTGGGAGTGGTCTGAGTGGGGAGGGGAAAACTGAAAACTAGCTGTTATTGGCAGAGAGGTTTGGAACTCTCTTTGTTATTGGTACAGTATTTTCATTAATTTACTGCCTGGCCGAAACTCCTCCCATGCAAAACCTGCTGATTAGAAGGTCCTGTGTAGATTGTATTTTCAACGAGCAACTATCAGGAAATAACACTGATCACATTTTTTCACACTTTTACAGTGTTAGTTTCATCAGCTAACCCCACAATTGTAGTTTGTTAGCACCCATTGACCTGCAGGGGGCAATGTGGTAAAGCACCAGAGGGCATGATGTCTGTAGAATGTATGTCACTGTGCAACAACAACGTGTGATAATCCCTGTAGATAACAATCCTATTGTGGTAACAATGCTAGAGGGGAGACATAAATGACGACAGAACATTGAAGTACAGTACAGTAGAGTACTGTGTGTGAAAGAATACTATATGGGTATAGCTAGTACACTGGCATCACTGTGTGATGCTGCATTGTGTAATTTAAGTGTGTGTGTGTGTGTGCATGTGTGCGTTTGTGCGCATGCATACGCGTCTGTCAGTGTTTATTCTACCTTCTACTTTGGCATATTCTGAGAGGCGCTGGTAGTTGATCAAGGCTGCCTGCTCCAGACATTTACGGATGACTGTCTTCACCTCCTCCTGGGGCACAGGGGTCACAATATCCTTCATCAGCACCTGGAACAGAACAGGAGACATTGGAGAAAAAATACTATACTTTTCTGGGGCGTTACCACAAAAAAGAAAAGCATGGGAGTGTGCGTGTAGAGAAGAGGAGACAAACATCTGTTTTACTCAGGTATATTATATACAACATATACAAACCAAATAGACAACTATTTATAAGACCTGCTCAATTCAAATATGGATGGAACATTTAAAATATTTTGTATATTTAGTTGTCCCATAGCCTAAAGGAAGGCGTGTGTCCATGGTTAATAGAACATAAGGTAAGGTTAGAAGAGGATGCATAATAACATACCCTCTCAAGCAGGGACAAAGTGGCTTTCAGGGCCCCCTCCGGTCGACCAAATGGAAAACAGTACCTGGGAAAGAAATCCAGTTTCATTTATGTAGGGTTTATTTTGAAGGTATTCCTTCCTCATAAGACCATTCTTTATCCTCAAGCATTTCTAGAATTTATAAATTACCACCCCCTGGGCACAGACGTCAATTCAACGTCTATTCTACGTTGGTTTAACATAATTTCATTGAAGTGACATGGAAACAACATTGATTCAACCAGTGTGTGCCCAGTGGGTAGCTAGTTCTTGATTTTTTATTTTTTTGATCAGAATGTAAGTAACATTTTGCAGAGCACAGTGATTGATACATGATTGACATCTGTCACAATCTATAATCTGTGGTTTGACAAATCCCATAGCCGTGTCTGTGCCAGGGTCAGTTATAGACTTAGATATAGTATTAAAGTACACACCTGAAGTGTGTGATCTGGTTCTCCAGCAGAACACGCAGCCTCTCTTTGATATCCTCAAAGCGCTCCTTCTCCTCCACAGTGACTGTTCCTATCCCGTCAGGCCTGAGGGACATACAGTACCATAGAGTTTATATGGTTGGAGCATGGGGCAGGAAACACCAAAGTTGTGGGTTTGATTCCCACATGGTCCACTTAAAGTACAATGAATATACAGTAGGTGTTAACTGGAAGATCCCTTTGGACATATTATATTAGTATCATCATAATATTCTAATTCAGAGTAGACAGTGTGGCCACCACTGACACAGTGATCACAGAGGTAACACAAGGGTCAACACGGTCACTGAAGTTCTAACTGAGAATTTCAGCCAACATAGAACATGTGTAGTGGCTAGCTATATATCCACAGCAGAGCCTACAGTACAAAGGCAGAGTTTCTGTGGTGTATTCCACAGGTAAGAGCCAGCCATCTGTCTGGAACAGTGGGGCCACTGATATCTGAGCATGGTTACAGAGGGGGGGTTATAACCCCCCCCCCCCCCCCCCCACGCCACCCTCACACAATCCCGTGCCAAGCTGTGGCCCCCATCTTGTCTGACAGGAGTATCCCTCCCCCCTCCTCCCCATCCTCCCCCTCTCCCCTCCTTTCTCAGTGTCCTTCACTGAGATTACATCCTGGGCCCTGTGACGCGGAGCATGTCACGTCTCCTGTTCCTCAGGCCGCTGTCACGGCGACCAGCGCCTCCTCTGTCACATGCACTCTGCTCAATTTCCCCCGTCCTCAGCCATGTCACTAACTATAAGGAGCCAGGCCCCTCACCAACACTCTCTTCCCTCTGTGCGTGTGTGTGTGTGTGTGTGTGTGTGTATGTTTCAGGCTATGATTGTCAGTGTTTGTGTTTTTGTGTTCATCTGAAGCATGTCAATAAAAAGCCCTTAATAAGATGGTATGTGATGTGTGTATAATTTCTGCCTCTGACAGTCCGTCAAAAATAAATAAACTATTTGATCATTTCACACTAATTATGCATAGCCATATTTTTTGCTCCTCCACAGCTTTCATAAAGTTCTCATAACCTCATGCCCCTGTCCTCTATTTTCATGACTACATGGAAATGAGTCATCATTTGTAACTGAGAGCGATCAGAGAAACTAATAACAGAACATCGGTAGCATGCCATATCAGAGGTCTGTGCTTCCTCTATTTCAAGAAGCTACAGTACGTGACTGGAGCTGAATTACAGCCAATTCACAAATTGACTAGTACATCACATTTTAATAGACAAATGCCATATTTAACCCCGAATTTAACATTCAAACACCACATTTCCAAATCATTACCTAAACTTACTGGAGGTGGAATGAAATCCACGCCAACCCTTAAACAGACAATTTATTCTCAATTTACTCCCAGGCTACTGTACTCTCTATAATATTCAGTTCATGCCCTGTGGCCATCAGGCTATTAGGTTGTGGGTGGGTGAGGGGAGTGAGGGGGATGAGGGGGGTCTTGGCCAGAGATGGGTTTCTCTCATGGGCTGCGCGGGGCTGTCATCGTCATGGGGACTGGAGGCGGGCTGGCTGTAGCTGTGGCCTGAGCTCGGACAGTGGCAGGAGACACTCGCCCGTCACCCATGACAACTTGTCATCCTGTCATTCCTGACCTCCAGGCACACCTGCCTCCCTCCCTTTATTTTCTCTCTCCATCTTTCTCCCTCTATTCCTGACCCTCTCTCTTTACTTATCTCTAACCCCTTCTCTCTTTTCCTCCCATTTTCCATTCTCTCTCTCTCTCTCCACCCCCCACTCCTATCCTCCAGTCTTGGAGCTACTCCAGTCTTCCCGTCCAGCCTGATCATAACAGGACTCAAACAGACAGCCCACCTCAGCTTCATCACTGTCTGTCATAGGATGGGGGTAGAGGGAGGGATGGAAATTAAATCAAGCTTCATTTATACAGCACATTTCAGACAATACAAGTGCTTCACAGGACAAAACTAACAAAAAACTATGAAAATAAAAGCTGAAATATTTACTACACAAAAAAATATATTTAAAAAATAAAGAATGACAAAAACTGAACGACTAAAAAGTACCCTAAGGAAAAGCAAAGCTAAAAAGATGCGGAGGGGAGGGGTAGATAGGGTAGGAGGATAGGAGGACTGTCAGACTGGCAGACAGCCACCGTGACCTTCGCCCCTCACACTGTAGTGACACTTGCTTGTTTATGTTGACTAGAGATCCAGCCATGACTACGACAGATTCGGTCTCCATACAGAAGTGTGGGCACATGTACACAAAACACCCACGTACATACAGTGGGGAGAACAAGTATTTGATACACTGCCGATTTTGCAGGTTTTCCTACTTACAAAGCATGTAGAGGTCTGTAATATTTATCATAGGTACACTTCAACTGTGAGAGACGGAAACTAAAAAATCCAGAAAATCACATTGTATGATTTTTAAGTAATTAATTTGAATTTTATTGCATGACATAAGTATTTGATACATCAGAAAAGCAGAACTTAATATTTGGTACAGAAACCTTTGTTTGCAATTACAGAGATCATATGTTTCCTGTAGGTCTTGACCAGGTGTGCACACATTGCAGCAGGGATTTTGGCCCACTCCTCCATACAGACCTTCTCCAGATGCTTCAGGTTTCGGGGCTGTCGCTGGGCAATACGGAGTTTCAGCTCCCTCCAAAGATTTTCTATTGGGTTCAGGTCTGGAGACTGGCTAGGCCACTCCAGGACCTTGAGATGCTTCTTACGGAGCCACTCCTTAGTTGCCCTGGCTGTGTGTTTCGGGTCGTTGTCATGCTGGAAGACCCAGCCACGACCCATCTTCAATGCTCTTACTGAGGGAAGGAGGTTGTTGGCCAAGATCTCGCGATACATGGCCCCATCCATCCTCCCCTCAATACGGTGCAGTCGTCCTGTCCCCTTTGCAGAAAAGTATCCCCAAAGAATGATGTTTCCACCTCCATGCTTCACGGTTGGGATGGTGTTCTTGGGGTTGTACTCATCCTCCTTCTTCTTCCTCCAAACACGGCGAGTGGAGTTTAGACCAAAAAGCTCTATTTTTGTCTCATCAGACCACATGACCTTCTCCCATTCCTCCTCTGGATCATCCAGATGGTCATTGGCAAACTTCAGACGGGCCTGGACATGCGCTGGCTTGAGCAGGGGGACCTTGCGTGCGCTGCAGGATTTTAATCCATGACGGCGTAGTGTGTTACTAATGGTTTTCTTTGAGACTATGGTCCCAGCTCTCTTCAGGTCATTGACCAGGTCCTGCCGTGTAGTTCTGGGCTGATCCCTCACCTTCATCATGATCATTGATGCCCCACGAGGTGAGATCTTGCATGGAGCCCCAGACCGAGGTTGATTGACCGTCATCTTGAACTTCTTCCATTTTCTAATAATTGCGGCAACAGTTGTTGCCTTCTCACCAAGCTGCTTGCCTATTGTCCTGTAGCCCATCCCAGCCTTGTGCAGGTCTACAATTTTATCCCTGATGTCCTTACACAGCTCTCTGGTCTTGGCCAATGTGGAAAGGTTGGAGTCTGTTTGATTGAGTGTGTGGACAGGTGTCTTTTATACAGGTAACGAGTTCAAACAGGTGCAGTTAATACAGGTAATGAGTGGAGAACAGGAGGGCTTCTTAAAGAAAAACTAACAGGTCTGTGAGAGCCGGAATTCTTACTGGTTGGTAGGTGATCAAATACTTATGTCATGCAATAAAATTCAAATTAATTACTTAAAAATCCTACAATGTGATTTTCTGGATTTTTGTTTTAGATTATGTCTCTCACAGTTGAAGTGTACCTATGATAGAAATTACAGACCTCTACATGCTTTGTAAGTAGGAAAACCTGCAAAATCGGCAGTGTTTCAAATACTTGTTCTCCCCACTGTAGGTACAAACGTACCTACGTATGCACGTATACACACAAACACATTTTATTCTTTAAAAAAATAAAACATTGAAATACCCAATAAGTATTTTAATATTTCAACTCCAGTATTCACTCTTGTTAAAATCAAACAGTCATGTGACTGAGGTCGGGTGGGAGGGAGAGTCACAGTGGATCTATCAGGGAGGAAGCACCACAGACTCTTACCTTCTGGGCCAAGAGACAGCCTGGGACTTGGAGTCCTTTTTTTTCCTAAACTCCATGATTTTGAGTTCCCTCTTAGAGGGGGTTGGGGGCTCTGGGGTGGGGGGGTAAAGGTAGCTCTGAAGCTCTGCCTCGGTTACAGGCCAGTTTAGCAACTCAGACAGTCTCTGACTACAGGTTACATGAGGAAGAGGCAGGGGTGATGTTAAGAGAGCAAGCAACGGAAAAAAAGAAAGAAGATAAAATTAATAAAGCAAACCAAAATCATAACAGACAACAATGAGAAACAATTAATTGAGAACAGACAACAAAGAAAGAAGAAAAATAAAAGAATATACAAAAATCCCAACTGAACATGAGAAACTTAAAATCCTAAGTGACTGAAACAAGTTATTGGAAAAAATAATATTAGAGAAAGCTTTGACTGAGGCAACAAAACAACAAGCATGGGATGGGGTGGCTTGGTGATGTATACCAGTACAGATTGTATCCAGATCTGGGAGACAGGGTGTAGGGTGGAATATACATTCTCCGAATGAGATTGATTTGATGAAGAAGGTTGGTGGTAAAGTGGGTTCTCTGAGTGGGGAGGCTTGGGTTTGCTTCAATGCATAAACATTTTGTTCCTGTTAAGAGAGAGAGAGAGAGAGAGAGAAGAGGAGAGGAGAGAGAAGAGAGAGAGAAGAGAAGATAGGGAAGATATAGAGAGATGAGTATAGAGAGACTAGATATATGCTACTCGCGACTATAGAGAGCTCTCGCGACTCTCTCGCCGCTCTCTCGCATTCGCTCGAGCGCGCGATCTCTCTCTTCTATGATCTCTCTTCTCGCTCTGTATCGATCGAGCGCGCTCTCCTCTGACTCGCTCCTCGCTCGCTCGCTGCCTCTCCTCGCTCGCTCTCTCGTCTCGCTCGCATCCTCGCTCGCTCTCTCCTAGCTTCTCTCGCTCGTCGCTCGCTAGCTCGCTGCTCGATCGCTCGCTCGCTCGCTCTCGTCGCTCGCGCGCGGCCCCGTGCTCGCTCCGCTCGCTCGCTCGCTCGCTCGCTCGCTCTGCCTCGCTCGCGCGCGCGCTCGCGCGCGCGCTCGCGGGGGGAGCTGGCGTCCAGGAGAGCTGTACATCAGTTCTCTGTACCTGTTGCCGTGGACGTGTGAGGCACAGAAGGCAAAGCTGTAGTGCAGCAGGGTGGGGTCGATCATAGCCCCGTTCTCTGCCCTCTCCAGCAGGTCACCCAGGTAACACAGGTGTCTGTGACACCCCCGCACACCATTACGAGCACAGTACTCATCCATGACAAACACCTGGCCTGGACTGAACCAACCCTGCAAAATAGACATACGAGGGGAGTTAAAATAGATCGAAATTGATAGAATAATAATAATATAATATGCCATTTAGCAGACGCTTTTATCCAAAGCGACTTACAGTCATGTGTGCATAAATTTTTACGTATGTAAGATCACAATGTAAAAGAATGAGGGAACCACTGGACTGGTAACCCTTTCCTCACCAAACAGGAGTAGGAGTCATTGAGTCTGTGGTCCAGGGTGAGGCGCTGCACCATCTCAAATAGGGAGGAGTGGTCAAAGCTGCAGGGGTTGGCTGAGATGAACTCATCCATGCCATGTTTTTGCGCCCGGTCCGCGTCTATGTCCGTCCACCCCGGAGAGAGAGAGACAGCCAGCACACATGAAGGGAGAGACAGGATCCACAGGAGTTAGACGGAGTGAGAGGGTAAGAGAGCGTCACTCGCACAGTGTGAGGGCCCTATTCTATCAAAACTGCTAAGAAGGTTTAGCGATGAGACACATATACAGTATACATTTTTCTTGCACCGGAAGATTGTGGGTTGGGGCTCATTTAATGAGTAATCAATGGCGTAAGGGTGAAACTATACCGACACTCTCTCACCGGGCAAGAATAATGTTAAATTTATTCTGAGCCTGCACACCAGGTTAACGGTTTACATTGAATAGGGCTCTCATACAGTATGTTTCATCTGGGGGTGGGTGCTCTGGTCAATGGAGAGGATCAGTGTGGGGTTCATTGTCAACTTGCAGGTGGAAAGAGCTCTGGGCCAGAGTGAGGGTCAGGAGGATTGGATGTGAGTTGCAGCATAACTAATGCAGAAGGGTCATTCCTGTGGTCATGCATGACTGATTCTGTTCTGTCTGTCTGTCTGTCTCCTTATTACAACATTGGTCCAGTTCTCTCTTGATAAGTTTCAAAGTTACTTTCTGTGGGTTCTTTCTCCCTACACAACAGTGTATGATACACTGCAAATCTCAGGACCCCCCCACATGTGATCCTTCGACCTGAGCATATACACTGAACAAAAATATAAAGGTAACATGCAAAGTGTTGCGCCCATGTTTCATGAGCTGAAATTAAAAGTTCCCTGAAATGTTCCATAAGCACAAAAAGCTTATTTCTCTCTAAATTGTGTGCACAAATTTGTTTACATCCCTGTAAGTGTGAATTTCTCCTTTGCCAAGATAATTCATCCGCCTGACAGGTGTGGCATATCAAGAAGCTGATTAAACAGCATGATTATTACACAGGTGCACCTTGTGCTGGGGACAATAAAAGGCCACTTTAAAATGTGCAGCTTTGTCACACAACACAATGCCACAGATGTCTCAAGTTTTGAGGGAGCGAGCAATTGGCATGCTGACTGCAGGAATGTCCACCAGAGCTGTTGCCAGAGAATTTAATTTTCATTTCTCTACCATAAACCACCTCCAATGTCATTTTAGAGAATTTGGCACTACGTCCAACCGGCCTCACAACCGCAGACCACGTGTATGGCGTTGTGTGGGCGAGTGGTTTGCTGATGTCAATGTTGTGAACAGAGTGCCCCATGATGGCGGAGGGGTTATGGTATGGGAAGGCGTAAGCTACGGACAACGAACACAATTGCATTTTATCAATGGCAATTTTAATGCACAGAGATACCGTGACGAGATCCTGAGGCACATTGTCGTGCCATTCATCCGCTGCCACCACCTCATGTTTCAGCATGATAATGCACGGGCCCATGTCGCAGTTCTTCCATGGCCTGCCTACTCACATGTCACCATTGAGGATGTTTGGGATGCTCTGGATCGCCGTGCACAACAGCGTGTTCCAGTTCCCGCCAATATCCAGCAACTTCGCACAGCCATTGAAGAGGAGTGGGACAACATTCCACAGGCCACAATCACCAGCCTGATCAACTCTATGCGAAGGAGATGTGCCGTGCTGTATGAGGCAAATAGTGGTCACATACCAGATACTGACTGGTTTTCTGATCCACACCCCCACCTTTCTTTTAAGGTATCTGTGACCAACAGATGCATTTGTATTCCCAGTCATGTGAAATCCATAGATTAGTGCCTAATGAATTTCAATTGACTGATTTCTTTATATGAAATGTAACTAATATTTTTGTTCAGTATATATTTGTGGGCAATTGTATAAAAATATATGGTAACTATTTACTTTATTTTTGTTCAGTATATATAGTCTAAACTCTCTGATAGCAGCCTTTCTGATTGCATCCTCACATGATCGAATGCAACCTCTGAGGTGCGCTAGCAAGACCCATCTCCTTTCCCCTTTACTTCCAATCCCTCCCCTCCACTGCTCAGCCCGTCGGCACCCCCCTAGGGTCTCCCTAATTAACCCCCCCTTGTCCAGAGAGGGGGCTAAATAAATTTGACAACACATTTTCACTTTCCTTCCCATTGAGTGGGCTTAGGCATTACATCAGGGTCTGTCTGGAATGGGAAGGCTGACCGTTAATCCATGCGCCATCCATCTCCCTCTAGTTGTATTTTAATGGACTCCTTTAGCAAGGGCTTAGGGACTGCTCTGGATGCCTCAGATCCGCAGGTCACAGCTATTCTAAGCAGCGGTCTGGATAAATAGCCTATGCAGCTGCCCCTCCCGAGACAAGGCTTTACATGTCAATAAAGGGACAACACCACTTATGGAGCATTAACAACAGATGCGATATAGTGAAACAAATGAGTTTTCGCTGCAATGTGGATATACACACACAATGTCATAGTAAAATGTGTCCAGACATACTGATATAGAAAAGTGTCAAATGTTTTGGATGTTTTTCAGAAATTCAAAATCACACCAAAGCTGAACGTGACATAAAAATATAAATCATGAACAATAAATTACTTTGACTATAGAATATAATTTTTTAAATACCAAACTATTTTTTAAGCAGACACTCTTATCCAGAGCGACTTACAGGAGCAATTAGGGTTAAGTGCCTTGCTCAAGGGCAGAGACAGATTTTTCACTTAGGGGATTAGAACCAGCAACTTTTCGGTTACTGGCACAACGCTCTTAACCACTAAGCTACCAGCCGCCCCAAACTACCATCAAAGCTGAGAGAATATAATAATAAAATATCACTTTTGTCCCATTGACCTCGACTTCATTGTTGAGTGAAACCCAATGTGGCGCCAGGCCAGCTGTCAACCACCCAGGGAACAAAGACTGTGCTGCTATGATGCTTATGATTCCGAACTCCCAAGTCCAAAAAGGTGACTTTGTGTCCCTCTCCTCTGTGACTGGTGGCCTGTCACGTCTATTTGACATATTAGCAGTGGAGTGGACATGGGGGCTCTGGACAGTAACAGACAATGACACTAGTCACCCCCATCTGTCTAGGCAGGGGAAGGACTGACATCACAATGATTGATGGATGCTACTCATTTATAGATCCCTGCACAGAACATTTGGGCTATTTAGCGCATGACTGTTTAAAAAAAAAGAATTGACCACCAGCACCACCTCCCCGCTCCCTCCCTCCCCAGAACATCCACAGCCCAGCCCTCTCTGACTGAGGGGTACATGATGATAGCTGGGTCTGGTTTAGGGGTAACATGGAGCTAAAGACGGGCTGACACTGTGGTTCTCCCTTTCTCAATCAGTCTCTCCATCCTAAACATTTGAATTCATTGAACAGCGATTGTGGAATGAGCGATTGTCTTATTATGCTCATCTAGTTTTTGTATACAAGTTCATGTTTTTACACATTTGTACATTTGCAAGTTGACAATACTTTATATGCCCATGCACTGTATGATTCATATAGCACTTAGAGCATACCAATATTAGTGTGTTAAAGGAGGGGAGATGTGAATTCCTGAGGCAAATCTCTATATACCCAACAATACCAGGATCTGTCTCAGTCTTTCAACAAGAGGGAACAGAAAACAGACTCAGTTTTCAGCAATAATTGTGAGAACATCACCCTGGTAAATGTCCTTGTCAGGCATCCAAAGAAAGAAAAGGTCAACGGATATGTACATTGTAAAAGTGGTAGTAGTGTCAGGGAAAGTGTTAATTCTAGGTCCGTCTCTAAGGAGTGGAGAAGACTGCAGTAGCATATGGTAAAGGGAATGACATGACATCATCACTTGCTACATGTCAGCATTCAGAATACTCCAGGTACATATTTGCCAGCTCTCATTTAGCAGCCCTCTTCAGTAAAACATGGATATTCCACTGGAAATAACAATTGATTTAATATAAAATAAATATATACAGTGCCTTCAGAAAGTATTCATCCCCTTGACGTATTACACATTTTGTTGAATTACAGCCTGAATTCAAAATAGATTTAAAAATTGTATCTCACCAATCTACACACAATACCCCATAATGAAAAAGTGAAAACATATTTGTAGAAATGTATGATTTTTTTGGGAAAATGAAATACAGAAATATCTCATTTACATAAGTATTCACACCCCTGAGTCAATACTTTGTAGAAGCACCCTTGGAAGCGATTACAGCTGTGAGTCTTTCTGGGTAAGTCTCTAAGAGCTTTCCATACCTGGATTGTGCAACATTTGCCCATTATTATTTTCAAAATTCTTCAAGCTCTGTCAAATTGGTTGTTGATCATTGTTAGACAACCATTTTCAGGTCTTGCCATAGATTCTTAAGTAGAGTTAAGTCAAAACTGTAACTCGGCAACTCAGGAACATTCACTATCTTCTTGGTAAGCAACTTTCATCTAGGATTTTGCCTGTGCTTAGCTCCATTCCATTTATTTTTTATCCTGAAAAACTCCCCAGTCCTTAACGATTACAAGCATACCCATAACATGATGCAGCCACCACTATGCTTGAAAATATGGAGAGTGGTACTCAGTAATGTGTTTTATTGGATTTGCCCCAAACATAACACTTTGTATTCAGGACAAAAAATGTATTGCTTTGTCACGTTTTTTAAAAGTATTACTTTAGTACCTTGTTGCAAACAGGATGCACGTTTTAGAATTTGTTATTTCCACTGTTAATTAGGTACATGTTGTGGAGTAAATACAATGTTGTTGACCCATCGTCAGTTATTTCCTATCACAGCTATTAAACTCTGTAACTGTTTTAAAGTTACCATTGGCCTCATGGTAAAATCTCTGAGCGGTTTCCTTCCTCTCCGGAAACTGAGTTAGGAAGGATGCCTGTATCTTTGTAGTGACTGGGTGTACTGATAAGTGTAATTAATAACTTAAGAGATAAGAGATATTCAATGTCTGCTATTTTCCCCCAATCTACCAATAGGTGCCCTTCTTTGTGAGGCATTGGAAAACCTCCCTGGTCTTTGTTGTTGAATCTGTGTTTGAAATTCACTGCTCGACTGAGGGACCATAATTGTATGTGTGTGGTACAGAGAGAGGTAGTCATAAAAAAAATGTTTATACACTATTATTGCACACTGAGTGAGTCCATGCACCTTATTATGTGACTTGTTAAGCAAATTTTACTCCTGAACTTAGTGGCTTGCGAAATTATTCACCCCCCTTGGCATTTGTCCTATTTTGTTGCCTTTCAACCTGGAATTAAAATGGATTTTTGCGGGGTTTGTATCATTTGATTTACACAACATGCCTACCGCTTTAAAGATGCAAAATATTTTTTGGGGTGAAACAAACAAGACAAAAAAACAGAAAACTTGAGCGTGCATAACTATTCACCCCCCCAAAGTCAATCCTTTGTTGAGCCATCTTTTGCAGCAATTACAGCTGCAAGTCTCTTGGGGTATGTCTCTATTAGCTTGGCACATCTAGCCACTGGGATTTTTGCCCATTCTTCAAGGCAAAACTGCTCTAGCTCCTTCAAGTTGGATGGGTTCCGCTGGTGTACAGCATTTTTTAAGTCATACCACAGATTCTCAATTGGATTGAGGTCTGGGCTTTGACTAGGCCATTCCAAGACATTTAAATGTTTCCCCTAAAACCAATCGAGTGTTGCTTTAGCAGTATGCTTAGGGTCATTGTCCTGCTGGAAGGTGAACCTCCGTCCCAGTGTCAAATCTCTGGAAGACTGAAACAGGTTTCCCACAAGGATTTCCCTGTATTTAGCGCCATCCATCATTCCTTCAATTCTGACCAGTTTCCCAGTCCCTGCCGATGTAAAACATCCCCACAGCATGATGCTGCTACCACCATGCTTCACTGTGGGGATGGTGTTCTCGGGGTGATGAGAGGTGTTGGGTTTGCGCCAGACATTGCGTTTTCCTTGATGGCCAAAAAGCTACATTTTTGTCTCATCTGACCAGAGTACCTTCTTCCATATGTTTGGGGAGTCTCCCACATGCCTTTTGGCGAACGCCAAACGTGTTTGCTTATTTTTTTCTTTAAGCAATGGCTTTTTTCTGGCCACTCTTCCGTAAAGCCCAGCTCTGTGGAGTGTACGGCTTAAAGTGGTCCTATGGACAGATACTCCAATCTCTGCTGTGGAGCTTTGCAGCTCCTTCAGGGTTATCTTTGGTATTTTTGTTGCCTCTCTGATTAATGCCCTCCTTGCCTGGTCCGTGAGTTTTGGTGGGCGGCCCTCTCTTGGCAGGTTTGTTGTGATGCCATTTTCATAAAACATTTTAATAATGGATTTAATGGTGCTCCGTGGGATGTTCAAAGTTTCAGATATTTTTTTATAACCCAACCCTGATCTGTTCTTCTCCACAACTTTGTCTCTGACCTGTTTGTAGAGCTCCTTGGTCGTCATGGTGCTGCTTGCTTGGTGGTGCCCCTTGCTTAGTGGTGTTGCAGACTCTGGGGCCTTTCAGAACAGGTGTATACTGAGATCATGTGACATATCATGTGACACTTAGATTACACACAGGTGGACTTTATTTAAGTGGTTCTCTGTAGCTCAGCTGGTAGAGCACGGCGCTTGTAACGCCAAGGTAGTGGGTTCGATCCCCGGGACCACCCATACACAAAAAAAAAAATTTATGCACGCATGACTAAGTCGCTTTGGATAAAAGCGTCTGCTAAATGGCATATTATTATTATTATTATTTAACTAATTATGTGCCTTCTGAAGGTAATTGGTTGCACCAGATCTTATTTAGGGGCTTCATAGCAAAGGGGGTGAATACATATGCATTCTTTTTTAGAATTCTTTGAAACAAGTAATTTTTTTCATTTCACTTCACCAATTTGGACTATTTTGTGTATGTCCATTACATGAAATCCAAATAAAAATCCATTTAAATTACAGGTTGTAATGCAACAAAATAGGAAAAATGCCAAGGGGGATGAATACTTTTGCAAGGCACTGTATTTAGGCTTGCCATAACAAAGGGGTTGAACACTTACTGACTAAAGACATTTCAGCTTTTCATTTGAATTCATTTGTAAAAATGTCCTAAAACATAATTACACTTCAAAATTATGGGGTATTGTGTGAACGCCAGTGGGGAAAAAAATCTCAATTTAATCCATTTAAAATGTAGGCTGTAACATAACAACATTTGGAAAAAGGGGTGTGAATACTTTCTGAAGGCACTGTATATAAATGCCATTTAGCAGACATTTAGTAGACTTACATGTGTACATACATTGGATTTGGACTTTTGCGCAATTTGGAAGAAGCACATCAAACTAAATAATGTGTATGAAGTGTGTAGCCAAATTGCATTGGTCTGGAATAAAAATACAAATGATTTACCCTACCTATAATATTATCTTAATATAATCTTATTTTAACCTCAAAAACATATAATAAGTGTTTTTTTTACCTTGTTTTTCTACCAAGAGAAGGCATTGGTAGTGTTACATTATACAGTGCACAGATGCAGGTGTGAACTAGCAAGTAGTTATTTAGTAACATTTCACTGATTGCTTCCTGGAATAATTGTGCAGAGACCACACTGTTTAATTCATGACATGGCATTTTTAAGATGGTAATAATCAGCTGCTGAGAGACAAAGGCCTCCAGTAGTTGTCAAAAACAACAATTTCACTGAATTAATTTATATCCTCAGTTCTACTGCAATTCATGGAACATGACAATCAACAATTAATTGTAGTTTATGTTGTGGGTTTTAGCCCTGTCTCTGCCTTAACCCTTTATTACTATTATGGTCATTAAAACTAACTGTTTCTGCCTTTTTAAAATAAATTATTTTAAAGAGATACCATACTGGTATGTTATAAGTCCTGGTGTTTAGAAATGGGTCTGTTTTGCTAAGAGGGGATTTCATGTTCAATAAAGTTGCTGAGAGCGAGAGAAGGCAAATATGCATATAGTATAACCAAAGCAAAGCAAACAAAATCAGAGTGACATGCATCCTAGTCTCAGAAGGATGGAAGTGAGTATTTTAAACCTAAAAATAATCAAACCAAATTAAAATGAACGTTTTCTAAAGTGGTCTAAGACATAGAGATAAGATAAAGATTTGAATAGAGGGAGAGAATGAACAACAGAAGAGGAAGAGAGGGAGGAGAGCACATTGCTTTGGTCAGATAATCAGTGTGGATTATCTGAGCTGTGCCAGCAACAGGGAAGCACTTACCATTAAATCCAGCTACGAGATAGATAGCGGGTAAGAAGGAACAAACCAGAGTGACATAAAGACAGAGAGCAGACACAGAGACCTGACCTACAGCAGCTGGGCTAGACCAGGGACACACACAAAGCATGAGAGAGAGAGAGAGAGAGAGAGAGAGAGAGAGAGAGAGAGAGAGAGAGAGAGAGAGAGAGAGAGAGAGAGAGAGAGATAGAAGAGAGAGAGAGAGAGAGAGAGATCAATAGATCGATATTAATCTAGTCCGCCGTCTCGCCTACGTCTCGTGCGCTCTCTCGGATAGTAGCTATCTCGTCTCTCTACTCTCTCGTTCTCTCCTCTCTTTCTCTCTTCTCTCTCTCTCTCGTCTTCTCTCTCTTGCTCTCTCTTCTCGACTCTCCTCTCTCTTCTCCTTCTCTTCTCTCTCTCCTCTCTAGCTCTCTCTCTCTCTGCTCTCTCCCTCTCTTCTCTCTCGCTCTCTCTCTCCTCTCCTCTTCTCTTCTCTCCTCTCCTCTCTCTCTATCTCTCTCGCTCTCTCTCTCTCTCTCTCTCTCTCTCTCTCTCTCGCTCTCATCTCTTCTTCTCTCTCGTCTCTCTCTCTCTCCCTCTTCGTTCTCTATCCTCTTCTCTCTGCTCTCCTGTCTCTTTCTCTCTCTCTCTCTGCTTACTCTCTCTCCTCTCATCTCTCATCGCTCTCTCTCTCCATCTATCTACTGTCTGCTTCTCCATATCTCTCTTCTCTCTCTCTCTCGCTTCCCTCATAACACTGGTAAACAACTGGTATAATGGGACACGGGAAGAAGAAGGGCTAAACTAAAGAGATGAATATAGACATATAGTTAAATGAAGAGACAGATAGAGGGAGAGATAATGTGATATGGAATAGGACAGAGAGAGACACAGCGATGATGAAAAAACAACATATTTAGTGACGATAGTAGAGAGATAGACAGAACGAAGGGAAAGGTGAGGAGAGGCGTTCTTTCTTCTCCACATGGATGTAGACACTTCACTGTGGTTTCTAGGGGTTACATCATATACACTGTACCACACCTATAGAATAAATATACACCACAACAGCGCGTATCGTCCATTTTAAAATACACACTTGTGTCATGTGGAGAGAAATAAATACAACAAAACAGGTCACATCAAAAAGGAGTCCAATAAAATCTGTATCTCGATAGATATTGAATTTGATTAAACATAACAGCATTGTACATTAGGGCGGTAGTTTGCTGGGTACTGTAGCTGAAACAGTGAGAGCTACTCTGAGTGTTGTGGGTCTCGTGGGCACAACATGGGTGGCACTTACAGAACTGGGAGATGGGTGCGTCTAGCTGGGGTGCGGAGCCCGCTCTGTTGTTGAGTTTCTGGACCTGGGTGGGGGGGATGGGTTTGTGGGATTGGCCCGTGGCCCGGTACATGGCCTGGACCCACAGGATGCGGTCCTGCTCGTCATCACTGGCAAAGATCACAGTGTCGCCTTCCTTTACCGCGTTGAAGAAGGTCCTCCCACCGTCAAGACCTAAGGAATAATTACGGTTAGCAGTGTTTGTAGGGCTAGTGCTACATGTAGATACCAGCGCAATATTCACTATATATACAAAAGTATGTGGACACCCCTTCAAATTAGTGGATCCGGCTATTTCAGCCACACTCGTTGCTGACAGGTGTATAAAATCGAGCACACCGCCATGCAATCTCCATAGACAAACAATGGCCTTACTGAAGAGCTCAGTAACTTTCAACGTGGCACCGTCATAGGATGCCACCTTTCCAACAAGTCAGTTTGTCAAATTTTTGCCCTGCTAGAGCTGCCCCGGTCAACTGTAGGTGCTGTTATTGCCGAGCAGTCATGTAAAGATCACAATGCGCAACGCGAAGGTGGAAACGCTTTCTTTGAAGTTATGAATCACGCTTCACCATCTGGCAGTCCGAGGGACGAATCTCCGTTAGGCAGAATCTCCGTTTGGCAGATGCCAGGAGAACGCTACCTGCCCCAATGCATAGTGCCAACTGTAAAGTTTGGTGGAGCAGGAATAATGGTCTGGAGCTGTTTTTCATGGTTTGGGCTAGGCCCCTTAGTTCAAGTGAAGGGACATCTTAACGCTACAGCATACGCATACCATGACATTCTAGACAATCCTGTGCTTCCAACTTTGTGGCAAAAGTTTGGGGAAGGCCCTTTCCTGTTTCAGCATGACAATGCCCCCGTGCACGAAGCGAGGTCAATACAGAAATGGTTTGTCGAGATCGGTGTTGAAGAACTTGACTGGTCTGCACTGAGCCCTGACATCAACCCCATCGAACACCTTTGGGATGAATTGGAACGACAACTGCGAGCCAGGCCTAATCACCGAACATCAGTGCCCGACCTCACTAATGCTCTTGTGGCTGAATGGAAGCAAGTCCCCGCAGCAATGTTCCAACATCTAGTGGAAAGCCTTCCCAGAAGAGTGGAGGCTGTTATAGCAGCAAATGGGGGGACCTACTCCATATTAATGCCCATGATTTTGGAATGAGATGTTCGACGAGCAGGTGTCCACATACTTTTGGTCATGTAGTGTATTTAGGCCCTGTTACTAGCGTAACTAGTAGTGAGTCATGGAAGTTATCTCTAGAAAAGGAATCTGATTGCCATTTGCACAGGCTACTGTACCTGGCTGAGGGTCGGTGTGTGTGTGTGTGTGTGTGGTGTATTACTGTACCTGGCTGAGGGTTGGTGTGTGTGTGTGTGGTGTTTTACTGTACCTGGCTGAGCGTCGGTGTGTGTGTGTGGTGTATTACTGTACCTGGCTGAGGGTCGGTGTGTGTGTGTGTGGTGTATTACTGTACCTGGCTGAGGGTCGGTGTGTGTGTGTGTGGTGTATTACTGTACCTGGCTGAGGGTCGGTGTGTGTGTGTGTGGTGTAGTACTGTACCTGGCTGAGGGTCGGTGTAGTCTACAGTGTAGCCGTCCAGTTGGAGCAGCTCCACAGGCTCTGCCTTCTTCTCTCTGTAGCTGCACATGGCAAAGGTGTACTGGCTCACCTGTACCACAGAGGGAGGGGACAGAGGGCTACTATTAGTTACTGTACACTTTATCTCATGGTGCTATTCCAGCTGCTATTTACCTGGTATTTCTCAAGGTAATTCATACTGGGACTTACTGCCGAAAATGGCATAACATTGGTAAACTGCCTAGTAATTACTATGTAGCTACCATTTTAGTATACCAGGTAAATAACAGACTGAAAGAAAGCATTACATCTTATCAGTTCTACTTATCCCAGTTGTACTGTAACCTTGATCTCAAACATCATGCTCCCTAACCCAGGCCTTGGACCACTTGTTTGTGATAACCAACTGGGAGAGATGGTCACACAAGGGTTAATGAGCCAATCACCAGGCATAGATGGTGACCAGATGCTGGTCAAAATAGGCATATGGGAAAACAATCTGTGTGTGTGTGTGTGTGTGTGTGTGTGTGTGTGTGTGTGTGTGTGTGTGTGTGTGTGTATGTATGTATGTGTGTGTGTGTGCATGCAATAGTGAATGTGTGTGTGAGAGTATGGGAGGGGATAAGTGACAGCTGTGTTGCCCACTCTTGAACCTCTTGTCAGTAATGTGTGTGTGAGTGTGTGTGGGTATACAAGGATAATCACATTATAATTAGATGAATGAAGTGGCCGAACCAGGGGAGGGGGGGCTGGTAAAAGTAACTTATGTTGATGAGAGAGAGTATGTGTATGCTTGAGTGTGAGTGTGTATCTATCCAACCTGATACAGTGATAAGCAGGCTTAGTCTGCTACTGACAAAGGACCAGAGAGAGAGAAGAGAGAGAGAGAGAGAGAGCGAGAGAGAGAGAGAGAGAGAGACAAGAGAAGAGTAGAGATAGAGATGAGATAGAGAGAAGCGAAAGAGAAAGAGAAGAAGAAATAGAAATATATATATATATATATATAGTAAGAGATATAGATATAGAGTTTTTTTATATAATCATATATGCGTATTGTTTTTTTTTTTTTCTTTCATTTTTCTTTTCCTTTTCCTTTGCCATTATCTGTTTCTTCTTTTCCCTTACTTCTGTCACTCAGCGATGACAGACGACTGCAGTAGTTACCCCCTTTTCACAATATAGTATCCCTACTTCTATTTGCCAGTCAGTGCCACTGGCAACGCCGAGGATCCCAGCCAATACCACGCTATTGTTCACCTCTGCTGCAAGTGGCAGCTCTCACTGGCTGCAGCTTGCCTCTGTGTGACAACAGAGATTCACTGTCAGGGCTCTGATGAGGCCCCGGGTGGAACTTGCTGGGCCGCCGGTGCCACTACCCAGCTCCACGGTGCCCCCTTGCCTTCGGGACGTCCCTGGGGCACATCAGAACTCCCCTCTCCTTCCCACCCCCTCGCCTGCCTCTTTCTCCACCCACTTCAGCCTCACGTCCCCCTGCCTGCTAAAGTTTGGATCTGTCAGGGCCAGGCGAGACAAACACACAGACAGAGACAGAGCAGGACTCTATGGACCTTAAGGCTGGCTGACCTGCTGTCAAACTGACGGTTAAAGGATTCTAAATGACTTTGCTCCCTGATTACCCTACATGCTTTGCTCTTTTAAATAACCTTGTTATTGTAGCGAGTAGTTGTGTAAAGTACTTAAGTAAAAATACTTTCAAGTACTACTTAAGTAGTTTTTTTGGGTATCTGTACTTTACTTTACTCTTTATATTTCTGACAACTTTTAATTTTACTTCACTACATTCCTAAAGAAGATAATGTACTTTTTACACCATACATTTCCCCTGACACCCAAAAGTACATTTTGAATGCTTAGCAGGACAGGCATATGGTCTAATTCAAACACTTACCAAGAGAACATCCCTGGTTATCCCTACTGCCTCTGATCTAGCGGACTCACTAAACACATGCCTCGTTTGTAAATTATGTCTGAGTGTTGGAGCATGCCCCTGGCTATCCGTAAATAAAGAAAACATGAAAATGGTGCCGTCTGGTTTATACTTTTACTTTTGCTTTTGATACTTAAGTATATTTGAAACCAAATACTTTTAGACTTTTACTCAAGTAGGATTTTACTGGGTGCCTTTCACTTTTACTTTAGTAATTTTCTATTAAGGTATCTTTACTTTTACTCAAGTATGACAGTTGGGTACTTTTTCCACCACTGGTTGAGTCTATAAATTGGATTGTGTGATGGGGGTGGGGTGGGGCTGGGGAGCAGGCCAGAGATCAGTTGTCATATGAAAATGCTTAAGACTTCACTCCAAAGCCATCACATATCAGCAGATAGATAGAAAAGAAAGAAAGAAAGAAAGAAAGAAAGAAAGAAAGAAAGAAAGAAAGAAAGAAAGAAAGAAAGAAAGAAAGAAAGAAAGAAAGAAAGAAAGAAAGAAAGAAAGAAAGAAGAAAGAAGAAGAAGAAAGAAAGAGAGTAAGTGAACAGAGAAGTAAAGAGAAAAGATCGAGTGAGAGAAGGAGGGAGGGAGAAAGAAGGATAGTGTGGTAGGGGACAGAGTGAGAGAGTGGCTGCTTCTGGGTGTCTTTGAGGACAGCCTCCAGACTGCTGAATAATTACAGTTCACTTTGCATCATAAACATGTGGTTTATGGCTCCAATCTGTTCTGTTGAGCAGTGACCTGTCCGGGCATTCAACTAGCCAGATACCACTACAGGCAGGATGAACTCTATCTGAACGTGGGTGGGGGTAGGAGGGGGCTGGCGAGAGTTTGGTTTAGGGAGCAAGCCGCTTAATTGTGATCCCTCGACTCAATTTAGACAAAACACAGTTTCACAGGTTTAGAGTGGCGTTTTTGCCTCTCGTGATGGGACTTGGTTCAGCTGAGGGCGACGCCTTTGATATTAATGCTTTCCACTTTCACTGGGTATGAACGGAGAGAGGGGACTTAACACACAGGAATAGTGAGAGGGTTACATGGGATGAACCATCACGACAGCCACCTCGTGGGATGTTCAACCCCTGACTCGTTCTTGTTTTCCATGGCACATCTAGCATGTTTACAGGCTGTGCTATGACAGCTCTACACCTGTAGAACGCTGTTTACGTGTACCTGACGTGTTGTTGGCGTGTTGCTACCATGTTTCATGGGTGGTGCCAGCGTCCATCACCCAGCACTGTAAATGATCTACTCACTCCATGTAATTAACAACTCATGAATAATTCAACAGGAAACGAATCTTCCGCGACTGAAATAAATACCCCCCAGTGTAAGCTGTGCTATTTATGAGTATCAAGGCAAATGTCAATCAAATGGCATTCAGAAAGTGTGTGTTTGTGTGTGTGTGTGTTTGTGTGTGTGTTTGTGTGTGCCACATTCGGCATGCAGCGGATGTGAATTTGCATTTTGTTATTTCAGAGAAGGAGGGTTGAACATCACAGAGTGGTGTTGGTGAATCACATCCACAGTAATTAACACAACAATCTCAGAAATAAATGCAAACATTTTGTTTCTCACTTAAATGATTCATTTCTATTTAATATATCTCCTGAACCAGCTGAAGTTGGCACACTGTTGTCTTTTCATAGGCTATTTCCATTTTTCGTATGTATAAGAAGCATAGTAAAAGTATGAATCAACACCTACAGTTTTGTACTACTTCACTGCTGAATTTTGTATTTTCAGACAACACCAAGACACAAATGGGACATACTATATTGATAGTAAAGCGAACTAAACATATTTGCCCTTCACTTTGAAAATATAATAATTTTGCCAATTCTGAAGACCAAAAGTCCAAATACATTTGAGTCCACCATAACACCAATAGAATATTGAATGTCTTGAATACTTACACGCGACTTAACATAACCAAAACATAAGAGAAAAAGTAAAACATTTACAAATGAAATTATACACAAACACAAAGCTATGTCTCTCTAAGAAACACACTTGCACATGACACACACACACATACACACACAGGCAGTCTATTGACCGGTATTTGTCACTTGCTGTATGTACAGCTGAGAGCGAGCGAGACGAGCATTCCGTGGGCTCATTTAGCTGCGAGTGCTAGGCCAGCCAGCGTACACTCTGGTTTGTCAATCGCCTGTCAACTCCTCGCTCTGAGACATATCCTCCCGAACACAGAGGAGAAAGCATGCTTCTCCAAATGAGGACAGACAGAAAATGGCTGCTACAGCTACAAAGCTCCTGACAAGAACTGGCTTACACCTTTAGAACCCCAGTCAACTAGAGGAAGACACGTACCAAAGCTTGACAGATCAAAAACATAACATCTTACTTATTGGATTAGTGCTGACCATGGTTATTTAGTGGTCTTTTGTTCTTACCTGCACCAAAACAAAGAATCTCTTCTTCCATCTCTTCCACACATTTTTACCAATAGCCCATAGGTACCTAAGTAAACAAAGCAAATAGTTAGTAACAGGTTGTGTGGACAATGGTGGATGGCCTTTCTACAGAGGCTGCTTTACAATATTAAACCTTGTGTTGCATCATTATTTCATAAAGAGGTGACATGCTCAAAAAGCATATTAATTTGTCCTTTTATGTTACAATGAGCAATATATACAACACCTTGAGTGAATGGCAATTGGCGAACAATAGCGGAGATGCTTGTGTTACAGTACAAGGTCTCTGCTGACCTCTTATGGTAAAAAGTTGTTACTGCTACCTTATCCTGTGAAAAGGTTTTCGAGCTAGAACAACCCATCTTCTGTTTGTGAAAGGAAATGACCTGTTTTCTGATATTAACTTAATTACATTTACATTTTACATTTTAGTCATTTAGCAGACGCTCTTATCCAGATCAACTTACAGTTAGTGAGTGCATACATTTTTATTTTTATACTGGAATCGAACCCACAACCCTGGCGTTGCAAATGCCATGCTCTACCAACTGAGCAGAACATGGTTCAGGGATGGGAGTGCCATGAATGATCCTGACACATCCAGAACTCCAGCTACAGTTTGAGCCAGTGGACATCCATAAATGTGGGTATGATCACTGTGCTCTGGTTTGCTGAGTGCTATCATTAGATTGACATTTTTGTCATTTAGCAGACACTCTTATCCAGAGTGATGTACAGTAAGTAGTGAGTGCATACATTTTTCTTTTTTTTCTTCTATCAGTCTTGAGTCTGTGGGAGGGCAGAATATGTTGTTTTGCTGTGTATCATGTTGTGTTGTGAAGAAATGAACATCTGAGGGCGAGGACCCTAGCTCTGCCTGCCTCTGTCTGCTCTTCCCCCTGGCCGGGCTAGGGGTACACGGGCCTGCCTCCCTCTGCCTGTGTACCCCCCTGGTTAGTTTAGGGGCATCAGGGCTTGTCTCTCTGAATAAACTAGTGCCCAAGGAGCAGCGGGAAAGGGGACTGCCAGCAGCCTGCCAGGCAGAGGCTGGTACAGGGAGCATAAGGCCCCAACGCAGGCTACCGTAGGGCCACCCCAGCATCACATCAGGCCCCACAGGCCCTGTACAGGAAGCATATGGAGGAGAGTGAATGAGGGAGACAGGCGGAGCTCCTTAAAGCCCAGACACTGGGCTTCCCCCATAGAGCAGGACACACACACAGTGGAGGAGACCGGAGGAGGAGGAAGGAAGAAGTGTGACGTTAACATGTCCTTATGTCTCTGAGTTGGCGCTGTCACATCACTTATATCACTAGCCATTAGCCTAATCACAATCATTATTTGCTATTTGATCTGGGGTGAGGAGGCTGTCAATACCTTTTACTTGATATCCATTCATGACAGTCAGAGTTCTCACTCTTATTCAATGTGCTCTTTAACATGGTCAGGTCTTACATGTTTGTATTAGTGTGAGGATATGTACACTTTCTTTATGACTGAGCCCAGGAAATGGCACCAAGAAAGCAGTGATGTACTGAAGGAGAAGACTGCGCCACTAGGTTCCCGAGTGGCACAGTGGTCTAAGGCACTGCATTGCAGTGCTAGCTGTGCCACTAGAGATCCTGGTTTGAATCCAGGCTCTGTCGTAGCCGGCCGTGACCGGGAGACCCATGGGGCGGCGCGCAATTGGCCCAGCGTTGTCCAGGGTAGGGGAGGGAATGGCCGGCAGGGATGTAGCTCAGTTGATAGAGCATGGCGTTTGCAACGCCAGGGTTGTGGGTTCGATTCCCACAGGGGGTAGGATTTTTTTTTTAAATAATGTAAGTCGCTCTGGATAAGAGCGTCTGCTAAATGACGTAAATGTAAAGACTTCCTTTTGTTCTTTAGCAAACATTATGGAGGCTTGATAAATGCAGTACAACAATATTTGATAACATTTTAAAATGTCAGATGTCACAGTGCCAATTACATAGTCATATTCAATGTATGTTGAAGATAATAGATGTAATGTTTAAGGTTAAAGATAAAGGTTGCCTGCTTTGGTCACAGTTGATCTGCCGTCTGGAAGTGTGTGTTATGCACTAATGGTCGGCACCACTAGATGGCAGCATACCACTGCGTCTGACAACAATATGTTTTGATCTAGTTTCCACGCAGCGTAGCTTACCCACAGTGCTTCATGTTTTGTGGCTTGTCCATGCGGATGGCCAGTTTGATCTTCAGGTCACTGTCAGGGCAGCCTTTGGACACGGACATCTTGTGTAGTTCGGACTGTTTGGGGCTGTTCGGGGTCGGATGGAGCACCACCTGGAAGCACAAAGACACATACAATGTACCTATTTATAGTCAAGTCATACATAAAACACACAGCCATGTAAGGTTGTATCAATGTATATGTATAAGTATATGTATAATGTATGTATAAGATCATAGCACTCCATATTTACATCAAAGTGGCAACCATTTTGAAATCTGAAAAGAAAGTTTGTTGCTAACTGTGCCTATGTCTGGCTCCAGTTCTGTAGGCTCTTACCCTGCCCAGCTCTTTGTCTTCCAGGGCCAGGACTCCTGTGCTCTCAGTGAACAACTTCACCTTGACAGCAGGTAGAGGGTGTGTGGTGGTGAAGTCCCCCTGGGTCCCCCAGCTGAAACACACACAAGACCACAGGGAGAGACGGGTTAAATAGTGACATGATATCGTTTCACATCAAATGTTATTGGTTGTGTACACATATTTTGCAGATGTTATCGCGGTTGTAGCAAAATACTTATGATCCTAGCTCCAACAGTACAGTAATACCTAACAATACAAAACAATACATGCAAATCCCAAAAATATCAAGAAAGGAATGAAGAAATATAGAAATATTAGAACAAGCAATGTCAGAGTATGGAATATAAATATACACTACCGTTCAAAAGTTTGGGGTCACTTAGAAATGTCCTTGTTTTCCATGAAAACATACATGAAATGAGTTTGAATAGGAAATACGGCAAAATGCATAGAAAATGTAGTCATTGACAAGGTCAGAAATAATGATTTTTAATTGAAATAATAATTGTGTCCTTCAAACGTTGCTTTCGTCAAAGAATCCTCCATTTGCAGCAATTACAGCCTTGCAGACCTTTGGCATTCTAGTTGTCAATTTGTTGAGGTAATCTGAAGAGATTTCACCCCATGCTTCCTGAAGCACCTCCCACAAGTTGGATTGGCTTGATGGGCACTTCTTACGTACCATACGGTCAAGCTGCTCCCACAACAGCTCAATAGGGTTGAGATCCGGTGACTGTGCTGGCCACTCCATTACAGACAGAATACCAGCTGACTGCTTCTTCCCTAAATAGTTCTTGCATAGTTTGGAGCTGCAAACTCTCATTGTCCTGTTGTAGGAGGAAATTGGCTCCAATCAAGCGCTGTCCAGAGGGTATGGCATGGCGTTGCAAAATGGAGTGATAGCCTTCCTTCTTCAAGATCCCTTTTACCTTGTACAAATCACCCACTTCACCACCACCAAAGCACCCCCAGACCATCACATTGCCTCCACCATGCTTGACAGATGGCATCAAGCACTCCTCCAGCATCTTTTCATTTGGTCTGCGTCTCACAAATGTTCTTCATTGCGATCTGAACACCTCAAACTTCGATTCGTCTGTCCATAACACTTTTTTCCAGTCTTCCTCTGTCCAGTGTCTGTGTTCTTTTGCCCATCTTAATATTTTATTTTTATTGGCCTGTCTGAGACATGGCTTTTTCTTTGCAACTCTGCCTAGAAGGTCAGCATCCCGGAGTCGCCTCTTTACTGTTGACGTTGAGACTGGTGTTTTGCGGGTACTATTTAATGAAGCTGCCAGTTGAGGACCTGTGAGGAGTCGGTTTCTCAAACTAGACACTCTAATGTATTTGTCCTCTTGCTCAGTTGTGCACCGGGGCCTCCCACTCCTCTTTCCATTCTGGTTAGAGCCAGTTTGCGCTGTTCTGTGAAGGGAGTAGTACACAGCGTTGTACGAGATCTTCAGTTTCCCGGTCAATGTGGATGGGGGCGTGCTCCCTCTGCTGTCTCCTGAAGTCCACGATCAGCTCCTTCATTTTGTTGACGTTGAGGGAGAGGTTATATTCCTGGCACCACTCTGCCAGGGCCCTCACCTCCTTCCCCTAGGCAGTCTCGTGGAAAATGGTGTCCTATCGCTCTTTTACAGACCATTTATTAATAACACTTTTAATATTTTCATAGAAGAGTGAGAGGAGCGAGAGAGAGAGAGAGAGAGAGAGAGAGAGTGAGTGTGTGTGTGTGTGCGTGTGTGTATGACAACCTCAGTGTATTCAGAAGACACTCACTCCGTGATGGAGAGATAGCACAGGGGAAACCATGACAGCTTGACACCACAACCGCAATTTCATAATTCCTATATCATTCAGCATGCTTTTGGGATGCACCTCAACCTACTGTGAACTATCTCTGAGCTGTGAGGTGATTCCCCTGTGTGTGTCACGTCTCACTGATGTGTTGTATCACTTTTCTATATGGTCTCTAATCTGTGAAAAATATCACAAGTTAAGCACTTAAGTACTGTACACACAGCGGATACCATCCATGAAGCATTTCCCAGATGTGACGGATCCACAGAGTGAGTATTCATTTGTAAGGTTTAACTACTAGAGTATAACTATTCAAGTAGTATACTGTATACAGTAAGTGACATCTCTGGCTCACCCAACTGAAGCAGGAGATTGAGAGTGTTTGAGAGGAGATGCTACTATAGAATGCCGTGAAAACAGTTGATAATATGATTCAAGTGCATTGTGCCATAGGGTTGTTGTTGGTAGAGAGCATATACAGTGCCTTCGGAAAGTATTCAGACCCCTTCACTCTTTCCACATTTTGTTAGGTTACAGCCCTATTCTAAAATTGATTAAATCGTTTTTTTCCCCTCATCAATCTACACACAATACTCCATAATGACGAAGCAAAAACAGGTTTTTAGAACATTTAGCTAATTTATTAAATATAAAAACATAAATATAACATTTACATAAGTATTCAGACCCTTTACTCAGTACTTTGTTGAAAAAAAGAGGACTGAGCACGCCCACATTCTCATCGACGGGGCTGTAGTGGAACAGGTTGAGAGCTTCATGTTCCTTGGTGTCCACATCACCAACAAACTATCATGGTCCAAACACACCAAGACAGTCATGAAGAGGGCACGACAAAGCCTATTCCCCCTCAGGAGACTGAAAAGATTTGGCATGGGTCCTCAGATACTCAAAAAGTTCTACAGCTGCACCATCGAGAGCATCCTGACTGGTTGCATCACCTCCTGGTATGGCAACTGCTCGGCCTCCGAACGCAAGGCACTACAGAGGGTAGTGCGTACGGCCCAGTACATCACTGGGGCCAAGCTTCCTGCCATCCAGGACCTCTATACCAGGCGGTGTCAGAGGAAGGCCCTCAAAATTGTCAAAGACTCCAGCCACTCTAGTCATAGACTGTTCTTTCTGCTACCGCACGGCAAGCGGTAACGGAGCGCCAAGTCTAGGTCCAAAAGGCTTCTCAACAGCTTCTACCCCAAGCCATAAGACTCCTGAACAGCTAATCATGGCTACCCGGACTATTTGCACTGCCCCCCCAACCCCACCCCATCTTTTTACGCTGCTGCTACTCTGTTAATTATTTATGCATAGTCACTTTAACTCTACCCACATGTACACATTACCTCAACTACCTCAATTAGCCGGTGCCCCCGCACATTGACTCTGCACCGGTACCCCCCTGTATATACCCTCCCTACTGTTATTTTATTTTACTTTTTTGTTGTTGTTTTATTTTACTTTTTTATAAAAAATAAATGCATTGTTGGTTAAGGGCTGTAAGTAAGCATTTCACAGTAATGTCTACACCTGTTGTATTCGGCACATGTGGCAAATAAAATAAAATAAAATATTTGATTTGATTTTCAGGTCTCTCCAGAGATGTTCGATCGTGTTCAAGTCCGGGCTCTGGCTGGGCCACTCAAGGAGACTTGTCCCGAAGCCTCTCCTGCGTTGTCTTGGCTGTGTGCTTTGGGTCGTTGTCCTGTTGGAAGGTGAACCTTTGCCTCAGTCTGAGGTCCTGAGTACTCTGGAGCAGGTTTTCATCAAGGATCTCTCTGTACTTTGCTCCGTTCATCTTTCCCCCGATCCTGACTAGTCTCCCAGTCCCTGCCACTGAAAAACATCCCCACAGCATGATGCTGCCACCACCATTTCTAAAAACCTGTTTTTGCTTTGTCATTATGGGATGTTGTGGGTAGATTGATTTAATCCATTTTAGAATAAGGCTGTAACGTAACAAAATGTGGAAAAAGTCAAGGGGTCTGAATACTTTCAGAATGCACTGTGTATATATATATATATATATATATATATATATACAGTTGAAGTCTGAAGTTTACATACACTTAGGTTGGAGTCATTAAAACTTGTTTTTCAACCACTCCACAAGTTTCTTGTTAGCAAACTATAGTTTTGGCAAGTCGGTTAGGACATCTACTTTGTGCATGACACAAGTAATCCTTCCAACAATTGTTTACAGACAGATTATTTCACTTATAATTCACTGTATCACAATTCCAGTGGGTCAGAAGTTTACATACACTAAATTGACTGTGCCTTTAAACAGCTTGGAAAATTCCAGAAAATGATGTAATGGCTTTAGAAGCTTCTGATAGGTTAATTGACATAATTTGAGTCAATTGGAGGTGTACCTTTGGATGTATTTCAAGGTCTACCTTCAAACCCAGTGCCTGTTTGCTTGACATCATGGGAAAATCAAAAGAAATCAGCCAAGACCTCAGAAAAAAAATGGTAGACCTCCACAAGTCTGGTTCATCCTTGGGAGCAATTTCCAAACACCTGAAGGTACCACGTTCATCTGTACAAACAATAGTACGCAAGTATAAACACCATGGGACCACGCAGCCGTCATACCGCTCAGGAAGGATATGCGTTCTGTCTCCTAGAGATGAACGTACTTTGGTGCGAAAAGTGCAAATCAATCCCAGAACCACAGCAAATGACCTTGTGAAGATGCTGGAGGAAACAGGTACAAAAGTATCTATATCCACAGTAGAACGAGTCCTATATCGACATAACCTGAAAGGCCGCTCAGCAAGGATGAAGCCACTGCTCCAAAACCGCCATAAAAAAGCCAGACTACGGTTTGCAACTGCACATGGGGACAAAGATCGTACTTTTTTGAGAAATGTCCTCTGGTCTGATGAAACAAAAATATAACTGTTTGGCCATAATGACCATCGTTATGTTTGGAGGAAAAAGGGGAGCTCTTGCAAGCCGAAGAACACCATCCCAACCCTGAAGCACGGGGGCGGCAGCATCATGCTGTGGGGGTGCTTTGCTGCAGGGGGGACTGGTGCACAAAATAGATGGCATCATGAGGAAGGAAAATTATGTGGATTTATTGAAGCAACATCTCAAGACATCAGTCAGGAAGTTAAAGCTTGGTCGCAAATGGGTCTTCCAAATGGACAATGACCCCAAGCATACTTCCAAAGTTGTGGCAAAATGGCTTAAGGACAACAAAGTCAAGGTATTGGAGTGGCCATTACAAAGCCCTGACCTCAATCCTATCGAAA